AAATACAGAGCAACTACAAGAAAAGAAATAGCTTGAATAAACCTTGCATACCACATCATGACTTGTGGGATGACAAAGGCAGCTGTTTCAGGCCCGCTCACAAACTATTGTGTTTTTCATTGTAGCTGACAACATCGCTTTATAACGTTTTACTTGTCCTTCTGTTGACGTTCACATTACCTTGAAAACGGTGTAAATTGATGTGACAATTAGACCAGCGTTTTGCTGTACCCAAAGGATGGCCCGGCGTATATAATGAGCAGGTTTTAGGATGAGTTTCAGCAGAAGTTGTCACAGTATGCAGAATGGTCTAATTATCCAGCGTATGCCCGGCTGCAGGTGTGTGATGGCTGGTTAATAGGGTCTGTTAGTGATCTTGCTGCCGTGGGTTTTGTGACGTAGACGACGCACGCCTGACGCCTGTGTTCTCAACAACACCGGCCGCACACTTCCCTCTAAAATCCATTCCTACAAGTCACATGATGCAGAGGAGGTTAAAAGTCCCAGAACGTTGTGCTAGTAAATCTAGGACTGTTGGTCATCAATCTTAGAATAATGTCTATTAGTGTTGTTATGCAGTAAAACTGGCAACTATACAAATATACATGAGGTTTCCACCGCCATCAATGTGTTGAGACAGACATGCACAGATCGACAGCGCCATCTCCTGGACAATGACAGAAGATTTTCTGAGAGATAAAAGGAAAGGAAAAGAACAGAGAGGATTACTTTGTTAATGTATATGAAACCAAAACTGCATGAAATAAGGCTGTTTTTTTATAGATAGCTATGTATGACACAATCTTTTGAAGACTGTGACTGGTTGGTTGTCCAAGAAGGGGAAAAAGAGTGATTTTAACTATATGGTCTAATCTATTCTAAGCCGTCCTCGTCCGTATGCTCCTAACAATTGTGACCTTAAGACCTCTTTTAAGGGTTAAGATACCCTCTGAATGACTTTTTTCTTTACTAGGATTTTTTCTTTAATTGTAAGAGTAAACGTCCACATTTCTAAGTATTTTCTTAGAATTTTGTCTTTAGGAGCTACTCTTTGCATTGAGATTCTTTATGAACACGGGCCCAGGTGGCCAAGACTGCAAGTGTGCATTTGGACAAGGCAACTATATTAGCAGTCATAGAGCATTTTACTTCCATGTACACCTTGTGTTACATTTAACCCTCAGGTGCTCTGAAAAATAATATAAAAAATAAAAAAATAAACCATAAATATTGCATAAATATTAAAAAATTCAATTAAATTGTCTCAAAATACTAAATTAAAAAGAATAAATATTATAGAACAAAAATAAATTGCATTGGTTTTACTGGGATGGATAACAAGTGTGATTCCGAAGAGTACAGAGGGTTAATGAAAACAAGATACTATTTGTTGCTATTTAAATTCTTTGCATGTAGTCTGTATAGTAGGCTATACATTTTTTTCTGAGATTGTATAGGAGATACAGTCTCAGAAAAAATTTTATTGTCTAGAGACTACAATTTTGTATCAAAGAAGGTACAAATCCTTGTCACTGGCCTGGGGTGGTGCCTTTTACTGGTACAAAATTCCCCCAAGTTCACCCAACAATAAAAATGCTGTCAGTAATTACTCTGCATCATGTTGTTCAACCCCGTAAGACTTTCATTCATCTTCGGGACACAAATGAAGATAATTTTGATTACATCTGAGAGCTGGATCACTCCTCCATAATCTTCTAAGGGATTGAAACTTGCCAGCCCAGAAAAGTTGTTAAAGACATTGTAAAAATAGTCCGAGTGACTACAGCGGCTCAAGCTTAAGCAAAATTTGCATTTTTTTTTTCTTATATAGATTCTCAATATAAGTGAGTAATGTGATGCGAGTAGTGTGATATAAGAGAGTAATGTGATGAGTAGTGTAATATAAATGAGAAAATGTGATGTAAGTGAGTAGTGTAATATGAGTAATGTCATGTAAGTGAGTAATGTTATTTAAATCAAAAGTTGTATCTGATAATATTGAATTGACTCGAGCTGACATGAACTAGCTGTATTTTTATTAACTAACATTAAAAAAGGTTAATAAATACTTGTATTGTTCTTCTGCCAATTAACCAACATTACTTTATATAACTTTATTGCACAGTTACATTTAACTTATTCCCTTCATACATGTATTAAGAATCACAGTTTGAAAAATGATCAAATTTAATATAGCAAAAAATTCAAAGGTAATTGCAGATGGATGCGTCATATGACATAAAATACATCATTTGATGATGTGTGTTTTTCAGCCACTTAAACATTCACTAATGTCACATACAGCAATACAAATCATAGATTTAAAAATGTACATCAAAACGGTAAATGACAAGACATCATATAAAAATGCTATACAATATACAAATACAGTCATCACATCTCACAGTAATACTGTAACAGCACATCTGTCAATCCAGTGGAAACACACATCAAGTGGACTTTAGCCAAAATACTGACCGTGTTTATTCACTAACTAACTTCTCTAAAACCAGTCCAGTGTCGCACAACATTTGTCACAAAACACAGCTCATAAAAACCTTGCTAATGGAAAAGAAGAGAAAAAAAAGTGGATTCTGAAAACAAAATTCTTGATTTTTTGGGTATATTAGCAAGGCACACAGTGTATGCTTCAACCAATCGTTATATTATATAAAACACTCTCCAAAACATGCCTCTATTAAAAAGGTGCAAACTGCTATGGACTTTAAAATATCTTTCTCTTCTTTACAATTATTAATAAAATATAGCATTTTAGCTTTAGATTTGGCGTGTCCTTTTCAATGATATCATAAATAGATGCTTTTCATTATACATGAGGAATAAAAATATTAAAGATGTCCACATTTAGGTACAATAACAGGCTTTATGCACAAACCCTGACGTTGCAAAACACAGAGCAAACACACATTTATATCGTCTTGGAGAAAGTCAAAGGCCTTCGTTGCGGTCTCTTAAAGTCCAAAACCCTGTCGTTGGAATTAATGACGCATTATTCATAGTTTTCGTGTTATTTTTACCAGGCTAATGTAGTAAGACAGTGATATTAAAAGACCTTGATGATGCATTCTATATATAGGCCAATAGATGCGACACTGTAAAAAAAATATATGATCAATAAGATATGACAACATGTTTACATTGCCTTAACTCATCGAAATAATTGAAGCAAGTTGTACAAGATTCAACTCATTTTTTTAATGTCGGTTTAATGTAATTTAAGTTGAAACCTAAGCATTAACGCTTAACGGCGAGTATATCTTATTAATAAAACATACAATGTACAGACAAACCCAGAATATGAACACAATGTGCCAACTTGCATATTCCTGAAATGCGTGATGTGCAATTTAATGCACCATCAATAATAACGAGTACATTGACTTTAATCTTTTAAAATCTCAGTCTTATGACATTAGGACACGTTAAGCACTTGTCCAGTTAAGTGTTTTCGATTGTCCCGCTGTGTTTAGTTTATGGATCGTGTTTGTTCTTCTGAGATAATCTAAGTTTTAGTGGCTTGACAGATGATTGACAGGCCTGTTTTCAGTCTGAAAACTATGAATGAAACAATGATTCTATATATGGAAAGTGGTCATATTTCTCAATTTATACTAAAATGTTTGATTTTTTTTATTTTTTAATCAAGATACAGTATAGAAGCAAACTAACTTGGATTTTAAGTCTTATTTTCTGAAGAAAATCAACTAAATTAATTGAGTTTGTGCTTAAAACAAGAATAGGGAACACAATATTTTTACAGTGTTTTCCATGACTTTTGAGGCAAATGTTCATCCCCTAAAATTCCAGTCTATGCATTTGTGTAAAATATAACTTTCTGAGTTTGTTTGTTTTTCCAAAACTTAGGCCTGGAAATTGCTATTTTAAAGCTTTGCCATATTTTTCATGACCGTCCAAACCCCGAAACAAGATTATTATATCTCACAGACAGATTTTTTTTTTCTTGATTCAAGCATAAAATAACCTAATTTTTTTTTTTGTAAAATAGACTTAAAGGAATAGTTCACTTTAAAAAAAAAAAAAAAAACTTTTGCTGATAATTTACTCACCCCCATGTCATCCAAGATGTCCATGTCTTTCTTTCTTCAGTCAAAAAGAAATTAAGAATTTAAAAATTAAAAAATAAAAATTTTTGATGAAAACATTCCAGGATTTTCTCCATATAATGGACTTCAATGGGGTCCAAACAGTTCAAGGTCCAAATGAGAGTTTCAGTGCTTTAAACGACACCAGACGATGAATAAGGGTCTTATCAAGCGAAACGATCGCTCATTTTAAAAAAAGTTTATATAAAATAAGTTTTATAAGCTCAAATGCTCGCCTTGCTCTGTTCTATGATGTCATTTGGTTCATTCAATGAACAAAATGAACGAGCTGACTCGGAAAAAGATTTGTTCATTTTTATGAACGAGTTCGAATAGGAGAGTCACGAACGCGCATCACACCCTAACCCTAAAAGAGCAAGGCGACCATTTGAGCTTATAAAACTTAAACTTTGTTTTTTTTTTTAAATGAGCGATCGTTTCGCTTGTTAAGACCCTAATTCGTGATCTGAAATCGTTTAAAAAATGTGCCCGAAAATGTGTTTCGAGATCGCCCAAAATGACTGACCCTACTACTGACTGTAGTCTTTAGCCTCTGGACAAAAAATCCTCCAATGACACAAAATGACGACTTTTTACGCCATCTGAGGATTTTTTCCAGACAAAAAAATACATAAATCTCTCATCTTGGGGGGATATGAGTGTGGAAAGCATTGTAATTCGAAAATACTACAGGTTTCCTACTAATACAAAGCTTACTGCTAAATCCTCAAGTATCCCTTTAAGTCTTTTGCTTCTCAAGTAACTGTAACTCTCAAGGTAGGTATATGTAGTGGAAAGCGAGACACTCGTGCACCTTGGCTGTAGGTCTATGTCCCGAACTGAAGTACGGAAGTCCAGCTTTCTTTTTGGTGGAGAATCGTGCAGGTTGGAAGCTTCGCTCGACGTGCCTCGACACCTGCTGGCTCTCCCTCTCTCATGTGTGTCAGATGAGTCGTTCTTCTGGAGGCACTTTCAGCACGCTGCCCATCTCCAGCCGAGCTCCTGCCACCTCCTGTTGACTGGGGCTGTACGTTCCCTCGGACTGACGCTTCTTCCGGGTGGTGAGAACCAGGCAAACCAATCCCAGTGTTCCCAGCAGGACAGCGAGACACGCTAGCGGGACGGCCACCAGCAGCCACGGCACGCGCTCCGCCTGCAGCTGCTTCTACAGGAGCACACGGAGAACGTCACAGCTCTGGGACTCAAATCACGCAATCCACACACAAAAATAGAATTTAACGTAAAAAAACTAATTTCTGAAAAATGAAAACATTTCTTAGGGCCATATTATTGTAAATATTTGTATATGATATTAAATTGTGAAACTTTTTGATTTTTTTCCATTTTTTTTTAACTTAAAGTGTAATTACTCCATTAAAATGGAATTAAGAAAAACTAAAATGGAAAACATGGAATTTGAAAATTTTATATATTTCCTAAACTAAACTTTTCCTAAAATTTTATTTTTTGTAAAACTTTTATTAAAGTGCGTTAATAAATAATCCAGAAAATAATTAATTTGAAACTGATTTCATAGGGCCCTAAAATTTTTTTTTTTGTTAAAAACTTTTAATAAATTACTGTTAAGTAGTATAAGTTCAATGATTTCATTTAATTAGATATGCTTTTTGATTGCTAAAATTTGGAATTTAGAAAAATAAATAAAATGGAATTTTGAAAAAAATAAAACATAGGGCTCTAAACATTTATTTTCTGTTAAACTTTTAATGAATTTCATGATTTCAATTAATTAGACATGGTTTTGATGGTTAAATACAACATTTGTAAATAAAACAGAATCCAGAAAAAAAAAACTGAAAAATAAACGAATCCAGAAAAAAATTATTTGGGAAAAAAATGGCCCTAAAAATGAAATTTCTGTTAAACTTTTAAAAAAAAATTGTGTTAAATTCATTATTCACTTCGCGCGTCAGACGCGAATGATTTCAATGTTAAGTCAATGCAAAGACGCGTTACGCGCGTAAAGAAAATTCCTGCGGCGCGAATGAGGCGTGGAGCGCGCCGCGGAAGACGCGAATACGCCTCATTCGTGTGTCAAGTTTGCGCGAATGGCGCGAATTGAGTGTCTGGCGCGTTAAGCTTCAAACTTTTGTTTTTATTAACACAAAGTGGGCAAGTGTCAAACTAGACGCGTCTGGCGCGAATTTGACGCGCTATTCGTGTCCGGTGTGAACACAGCATTAGACATTTCATTTAACAATTAAAATGAAATTGAATCCAGATATAGGCTAATTGAACAGAAAAAAATGAAATTTGGAGAAAAAATCTAATGAATTTGATGGAAAAAAATTTAACAGATATTATAGAGCCCTAAAAGAGTAATTTTTGATAAACTTTTAATACATTTTTTTTTCCATGTTCCATGATTTAAATTTAGTAGGCATGGTTATAATAACGAGGAAAAAAAACTCAGTAAGTTAAAAAAATGAATCCAGAAAAATGTAAAGAGAAGAAAAAAAAATGACAAACAGGTTTGGTAGGGCCCAATAGATGGATGAAGCATTGGAGAAGCCAGATCTCACCGTGTTCTCACAGTTGTCTCCGCTGACGTCCGACACACACTCGCAGAGGTAGTGATTGGCTCTGTTCACACACGTGCCTCCATTCAGACACGGGTCCGACTCACATTCATCTATATCCACTTCACATCTGGAAAACAAAACGTCCTCAGTCTATAGTTTGCACATTTCCGCTTTTTTGTGCAAAGAATTGTACATAAGTGACTAATCAAAGTTAAAGCAACTGTTTCTCCCGGTAGACTTGTGTAAATATGATTACAGTAAGATGCAGAGCAAACCAGCAGATGTTGCACTCCATTTTGCACTCCATCTGTTGCAGCGACTAATACAATTATCAAAACTTAAATTAAAGATAAATAGAATTTTTTTTTTTATTATGTGTGTAGGAGACATAGAGAGTGTGTGTGTGTGTGTGTGGTCTCAGATGATCTCACCTCTCTCCATTGAAGCCGGGTCTGCAGGTGCAGTTCCTTCCCCAGAATCCCTCAGTGCAAACGCCACCATTCTCACATTCTGAATCCACATCACACCGACGCCATCTGAGGACACACACTGAATTATCCATGACCAATGAAAGAAATGGCATAATCCATAATGTGAAAATACAACAAGGCTTTATAGATATTCAACTCAATCAGACCAGGGTCCTTTTCTTCTTAAAAGATTATTTTTCAAATCTTAAAAGATTATTTTTAAACAACAACTTCAGTGTGTGCTTCTTTATGCGTAATAAATCATTATTCATGATGATGTGCTCATCTTAGTTAATGTTTTAATTAGGGCCGTCAAAACGATTAATCGCGATTAATCGCATCCAAAATAAAAGTTTGTGTTTACATAATATATGTGGGTGTACAGTGTATAATTATTATATATATATAAATACACACACATGCTTGTATATATTTAAGAAATATTTTCGTGTATATTCTGTATATAGATTTATATATAATTTATATTATATATAAATATAAATATTTTATATATAAATAATATTTTTTTCTTAAATATACATGCATGTGTGTTTTATATATATATACAAAATAATTATACACAGTGCCCCCACATATATTATGTAAACAGAAACTTTTATTTTGGATGCGATTAATCGCGATTAATCGTTTTGACAGCCCTAGTTTTAATTAAGGTGTTGTTCATTCATGAAGTCATGAATGAAAAATATTGAACTTCTGTTCGTTCCTGATGATTCATGAGATATTGATGCATGAATGAATTCATTAATTTATACATGAATTCATGTACCCTTTCTGTAAAGTGTTACCAGCTAAACAAGTAAGCATTCAAAGATCAGGGGCCGCTTAAGACCAGTCTTAGACTTTTTTTCTTTAAGACTGTTCATAGCTTTTTAGATTTAGATTTATTCCTTCAGCAGACGTTTTTATCTTTTATACTGCAGTCTAACGCAGTACATGTACAATTTATTTATTATCTGAATAGCAGAGAAAGTGTTCGTTTTTCAAAATCAGTTACATAAAAAAACACGTAGATTGGCCTAATCTGATTCTGAAAAGGAAGATTGACTGCCCCAAACTAACATGCTAGAACATACGACAACCGGCCCGATAATCTGCAGATCACTCACTGGCAGGACGGGCCTGTGTAAGCAGGTGGACAGAAGCAGGTGTGTCCCGTGACTGAATACACACACAAGCCTCCGTTCTCACAGCGATGCTCCTCCCGGCACCCGTCCACCTTTTCCTGGCAGTTCTTCCCAGCGTATCCATCGGGACACTCGCACACATAGTCCCCGGGCAGATCCCGGCACACGCCGCGGACACAGGGCTGTTGGACACACTCGTCCACGTTCTCCTGGCAGAGTTCGCCCGTCCATCCCGGGACACACGTGCAGGAGAAGAGATTGAAGAGATCCGTGCAGGAGCCGTTGTTCAGGCAAGGCTCGGAAACACACACGGGGGAGCCGGAGCATCCCAGCCGAGGCTCTGTCCCGCCGACTCGGATGAACTGGGACGTTTGCGGCGCCTCGTCCTCCAGGCGTCCGGAAAACGGTAAATAAACCCCACCGATCCGCACCTCCCCCAAACAGCCGGAGTAGTTCTCCGCAAGCCACACGGTGGAGAAGTTGAAGAAGCCGCCGGACGCCGGCAGACTGGATCCCGATATCCGACCGTCCACGACCAGGATCCAACGGGACGCCGAGCTCCTCGAGATGGACGAGTAGAGCAACACATGATGCCATTCTCCATCCGAAACGGGGATGTCGCTGGTGAACGCGTGCACATCAAGACTGTTCCCCTCACGAAACTTGACGATCAGCGAGGAGTTCAGAAGCCCCACGCAGAAGAACTCCAGCCGGTCCGAGGCGCGCAGCAGCGTCCCGTTCTCCTCGCGCGTCCGCAGGTCCATGGAGATCCGCATCATCGGGAACAACAGGGAGCCGTTGGCGCTGAACTGGAGAGCATTGCTCTCGAATGTGGCGTTGGCTAGACCTGGAGTGAGGAGGAGTGTCGTTTACTTGACATACACTGGAAATGTCAATCATTGAACAACACATTTGCACGGTCATGGTTCTCTGATGTTGGTCAAGTTAACAGATTTCTTTTTAGCTAGTGTTTTATTTTAATTGTTTATATTTTTTAATTATTTTTTATACAGGGCTACATGACTGCCAAATAATTTAATTGTGATTATTTTGTCATGTCATGTCATAATATTAATACTAATATTATTATTAGTTATAACTCTAATTATAAAAAAATGACCGGTATATATCACTATTGTAAATTACTTTAAAAAAAAATGAATATTCAGAAATAAAAAAATGTATTTTACACTACTGTTTTATTATTATTATTATTATTAGTTTTAACTCTAATTATAAAAAATTTGAGAAATATTACAGTTGTAAATTCAAAAAAGCTATTCAATAAAAATGTACTTAATATTAAAATGTGTATTTTACACTAAAAGTTCAAATATTACATCATAGCCTGTAAAGCATTATTTTGTCATATACTTCATAATAATAATAATACTATTATTGTTATTATTACAAAAAAATGACAGAAATATATTACTCTTATAAATTACAATAAACTATGAAAATTAAAAAATGTGATGATTTGATAATATTTTTTGACGCAGTATTTCTCAAATCATAAGGCTTTTATTTTGAAAGAATACTGGTGAAATTATGTCATAGTTTATTTTTTTAAGTAGCAAAAAAAAAAACTATATCGACTCTGTTCTGGTTCAAATTGAATCCAATTGTATTCAAATCAATTAACCAAATTACACAATGAAAAACAAAAATAAAACTGTATTTATTTACATTCTTTTTTTTATTTTATAGATTCTTTTTTATTTACATTTTTTTTAATTCAGTGCTTTCCTTAAGTTCTAACATTAGAGAATTGCTCTAGAAATGCCAAGATCACAGGTTCGGTTCAAGGAAAGAACTACTGAACTGGAAAAAAATTATAACTTCAATGCGCATACATTTCTTAAAATAAAAGTGTCTGCAAAATGCATAAAAATACTTTATTTTTTTATTATTATTATTACTATTTTTATTTTGGGTCTGTGCATTAAATTTATGGTCAAGTTCAAGAAGATTTTAAGGAAAAAACAAACTCAAAAAATGCACTGCGGGTCAAACTGACCCGAAACATAATGTAAGGGTTAAACGTTTCTTTTTTTTCATATTTTCAATTTTTTTCTATTGTTTAGTTGTCTGTTTACCGAGAAACAAGAAAAAAAGACTAAAACAGCGACCAATGAAGTTCAGTCAGTCAGATACTCACACTCATAACCATCAGGCAGATCCACGCACCGAGTCCCGGAGTCGCACGGGTCACTCACACACCACACACGCGTGTCACACGTCTTCCCGGAGTAGTTCGGCGGACAGGAGCACACAAAGTCATTCCAGATGACCGCGCATTTCCCTCCGTTCCGACAGGGCTTCATCTGCAAACACAATGTGAGAAGACACCAGAGTAGTGTTCAACACCAGCAGAAGAACAGATGTGTGTTTGACAGAGTCTCTTCTGCTCACCAAAGCTGCATTTTTTCGATCAAAAATACAGAAAAAGTGAATATTACCATTTTAAAAAGTCGCTTTCTATGTGAATATTGTAAATTGTAATTTATTCCTGTGATCAAAGCTGAATTTTCAGCATCATTACTCCAGTCTTCAGTGTCACATGATCCTCCAGAAATCACTCTAATATGAGGATTTGATGCTCAAGAAACATTTATGATTATTATTAATGTTGAAAGTGACGCATGTGACGCATTGTGTTTTCACGTCTTCTTTGATGAATTTAAAGTTCATAAGAACAGTATTTGTGATGTTAGTTTGACAAATGTTAACATTATTAGGCCTATAGGCTTAGCAATGTGATAAAACATGCTAGCAACATGGGAATTCATGTTAACAATGTGTTAAAACATGTAACCAACATGATATGCTACTAAAATGCTAAATCATGTTAGCAAAGTGTTAACCATGCTAACAACATGCCAAAATATTCTTTGTTAACGTGTGAAAACATGTTAATAACATGCCAATTTAGGCTAGCAATGTTAATTCATGTTGGCAAACACGTTAGCAACATTAATGTTAGCAACATTAGAAATGTGCTAAAACATGCTAGCAATATGCTAATTAATGTTAGCAATGTCCTAAAACAGGCTAGCAATGTGCTAACAACATGCTAATTCATGTTGGCAATGTGCCAAAACATGCTAATTCATGCTAGCAATGTGTTAATTCATGTTAGCAAGCTGTTAAACATGTTAACAACATATTAATTCAGGCTAGCAATGTGCTAATTCATGTTGGCAAACATGATAGCAACATGTAAATTAATGCCAGAAATGTGCTAAACATGCTAGCGATATGCTAATTCATGCTAGCAATGTGTTAAAACATGTTAGCTTAGCAATATGCTAATTAATGTTAGCAATGTCCTAAAACAGGCTAGCAATGTGCTAACAACATGCTAATTCATGTTGGCAATGTGCCAAAACATGCTAATTCTTGCTAACAATGTGCCAATTCATGTTAGCAACCTGTTAAACATGTTAACAACATGCTAATTCAGGCTAGCAATGTGCTAATTCATGTTGGAAAACATGATAACAACATGTAAATTAATGCCAGAAATGTGCTAAACATGACAGCAATATGCTAATTCATGCTAGCAATGTGTTAAAACGTGTTAGCAATATGCTAATTAATGTTAGCAATGTCCTAAAACAGGCTAGCAATGTGCTAACAACGTACTAATTCATGTTGTCAATGTGCCGAAACATGCTAATTCATGCTAGCAATGTGCTAATTCATGTTAGCAAGCTGTTAAACATGTTAACAACATATTAATTCAGGCTAACAATGTGCTAATTCATGTTGGCAAACATGATAGCAACATGTAAATTAATGCCAGAAATGTGCTAAACATGCTAGCGATATGCTAATTCGTGCTAGCAATGTATTAAAACATGTTAGCTTAGCAATATGCTAATTAATGTTAGCAATGTCCTAAAACAGGCTAGCAATGTGCTAACAACATGCTAATTCATGTTGGCAATGTGCCAAAACATGCTAATTCTTGCTAGCAATGTGCTAATTCATGTTAGCAACCTGTTAAACATGTTAACAACATGCTAATTCAGGCTAGCAATGTGCTAATTTATGTTGGAAAACATGATAACAACATGTCAATTAATGCCAGAAATGTGCTAAACATGCTAGCAATATGCTAATTCATGCTAGCAATGTGTTAAAACATGTTAACAATATGCTAATTAATGTTAGCGGACAATGTCCTAAAACAGGCTAGCAATGTGCTAACAACGTACTAATTCATGTTTTCAATGTGCCGAAACATGCTAATTCATGCTAGCAATGTGCTAATTCATGTTAGCAAGCTGTTAAACATGTTAACAACATATTAATTCAGGCTAGCAATGTGCTAATTCATGTTGGCAAACATGATAGCAACATGTAAATTAATGCCAGAAATGTGCTAAACATGCTAGCGATATGCTAATTCATGCTAGCAATGTGTTAAAACATGTTAGCTTAGCAATATGCTAATTAATGTTAGCAATGTCCTAAAACAGGCTAGCAATGTGCTAACAACATGCTAATTCATGTTGGCAATGTGCCAAAACATGCTAATTCTTGCTAGCAATGTGCTAATTCATGTTAGCAACCTGTTAAACATGTTAACAACATGCTAATTCAGGCTAGCAATGTGCTAATTCATGTTGGAAAACATGATAACAACATGTAAATTAATGCCAGAAATGTGCTAAACATGACAGCAATATGCTAATTCATGCTAGCAATGTGTTAAAACATGTTAGCAATATGCTAATTAATGTTAGCAATGTCCTAAAACAGGCTAGCAATGTGCTAACAACGTACTAATTCATGTTGTCAATGTGCCGAAACATGCTAATTCATGCTAGCAATGTGCTAATTCATGTTAGCAAGCTGTTAAACATGTTAACAACATATTAATTCAGGCTAGCAATGTGCTAATTCATGTTGGCAAACATGATAGCAACATGTAAATTAATGCCAGAAATGTGCTAAACATGCTAGCGATATGCTAATTCATGCTAGCAATGTGTTAAAACATGTTAGCTTAGCAATATGCTAATTAATGTTAACAATGTCCTAAAACATGCTAGCAATGTGCTAGTTCATGCTAGCAATGCGTTTAAACATGTTAATTTTCTCTTTACTCAATTTAAAGCTTGTAAAACAGAACCTTTTGTAACAGTATCACAGTCTTTACTGTCACTTTTGATTAATTTAATGCATCCTTAATGACTAAAAGTATTCATTTCCCTATTAATAGTGTCTCACCTTGCACGTCTGGTCCCCGACACATCCCTCCAGCACATTAGATGAGTTTCTCGGTAAGTAGCTTGAATGCTGTGGTTTCTGGCTGATGCTCCCCGAGTACATGAACAGTTGTGTGTCGTCTATCCGGACGTCCTGCAAACAACCCTTGAAATATCCGCCCCACTGTCCGGTGTTTTCTCCTTCGGGAAGCCCACCTAGATACGCCACATCTCCCGCCTCCACCTCAAAGTCGACGTGACTGGCAGAAATCGGCTGCGTTTCGTTAAACACTATAACACCTTGTTGTTTTTTAATAGCCACAAAGACCTTCTCCCCATCGGTCAGGAATCCCGAGGCCTTTGTGATGGAGTTGTATATGGCGATATATACTGAGCCGTTCTTCAGAAAAAGAGTGAAGTAAGCATGACTGTCGTGCTGGAGCTGGAGGAGCAGGCCGTCTGGGTGCCGGGATCTCAGCCACAGCGACACGCTCAGGTTTGAGTCGTGCTTCTGCGTGATGGGGAACGCAGCGAAGCTTCTGCTGCGCTCGTGACTGAACGTCCATGAGGAGTGCTCTGTTGGGGAAAAAAAGCATCCAGAACATACAAGAGTTTATAGTTGATAAGGCCTACTTTAGGAGAATTAAGATTTGTTTGACGTGTGAAAATATGAGATGAAACATCATGAATGATCATTACCACACTCTAAAAATGCTGGGTTGTTTTAACCCAACTCGACAAACCCAAATGTTTGGTTAAAAATATAATTTAAAAAATTTTACTTAATGGCTGGGTTTGTCCATATCTGACCCAAAGTTGGGTTAAAATAACCCAGCGTGTTTTAGAGTGCATGTGTTTGTGTAGTAGAGTAGTGTTTGGGTCATCATTCTCATTCTTGTTTGTTATTATCTGTATTTACTATTTCAATTTTTTATTTATTTTTTAGGTGTAACATATTAAGATCTGTCCAGGGACAGATACATTTAAATATATATTATTAGTGTGCATTGTCCCTGCACTCTAAAAAAATGCTGGTTTGTTGGGTCAGATATGGACAAACCCAAATGTTGGGGTAAAAATGTAATTAAAAAATTAAAAAGTTGAAAGTGAAAGTTGAAGTTGGGTTAAAATTTTAAATCACATTTTTAACCCAACATTTGGGTTAGTCCATATTTGACCCAAATTTGGGTTGGCATTTTTTAGGATGTGTTAAACAAACCTGAAATAAATAAAATAAAATAAAATAAATGATGTTCAAGGATTCGCAAACTTTTTTTGTCAGCCTCTGATTTAAAATATTTACTATTTTAAGTTAATATTTATATAATTGAGCAACATATTTGCATGCTCATAGTTCTGTGATATTGGTTAATGGTCACGGGACATGCAGGTAAATCAATAAAATATATTTTTTAATCAATTTGATATTTTTATGATTTAGTAAATAATTAGCTTTTACTCAATTTACAAACAACCTGTAGTTTCCTCACAAAATCCAGTTTAGGGAACAGTTTTTATTTGAAATATTTAGGAATATTATACATGCATTTGCTGTCAATTTAAACATATTTGGTGAATACATGTCTATCTTTACTTTTAAGATATTTGTAACACCAAATTTTTGAATGGTAATATATAATGGTTTCCACAAAATGAAGTATGTTTTCTTTATAAATGTTTCTTGAACAGCAAATCATCATTTCTGAAGGATCATGTGACACTGAAGACTGGAGTAATGATGCTGAAAATTCAGCTTTGATCACAGGAATAAATTACACTTTAGTTTTTTTATTAATTAATAATAATATTTTACAATATTACTGTATTTTTTATTAAATAAATGCAGCCTTGGTGAGCAGAATACCTTTATGCAGCAAGGATTCATTGAATTGATCAATAGTAAAATCATTTATAATGTTTGAAAAGTTAACACTGATAATAATAATGTTTCTTGAGGAGCGTATTAGAATGATATCCTGTAAAAAAATAAAAATAACTTTTGAAGGGTTGTGTATGATGTTACAACAGATTTCTAGTTATTTTAAATTGTAAAAAATATTTGACAATATTACAGTTTTTGCTGTATTTAGAAACAAATAAATAAGCTTCAGCGAACAAAATTCTTACAGATCTAAAAACTTTTAAACAGTAGCGTGTATATATATATATATATATATATATATATATATTAACTAAATAGAGGCATCAAATAAGGCTTAATTTAAGGCTTACAGATAAAATGGACACACACTTTAATAATTCACTATGGCAAGCTGTTGTTATAACTAAGTCAGCTCACCTTCTGAGCAGTTGTGTCCATGAAACGGCGTGTGGCACTGGCACATGTAGTCGCTCCACAGATCCACACAGTGTCCTCGCTGGGAGCAGGGATCGGGACGGCACCGCTCGCGTCTCTCGCAGCCCATCTGCACATGCTGAGAGCGGAGGCTTCTGGGTAAAACCAGCTGAGCATCGACACGCAGATCCTCCACACACCCGACCAACCCCGTCCCGGACGCCGTGTTGTTGAGGAGCTCCAGAGGAACGCCTCCGATGTGTGTTTTCTCCAAGCCCTTCGGCTGGAAGGACAGAAGCTGGTTGTGTCCTCCATCCTCAGCGCTCTTGTTCTCTGATATCAGGGTCAGAGCGAGTCTCTCGTCCACACTGACGGAGACTTCATGCCAGAGGCCGTCGCTGAAGTCCCCGCGTAACATCACAGCAAGCCTCAAATCTCCAGATTCGGCTCTGGAGAGAAGATTCCCGCCACTCAGCTCCAGTGTAAAAAAGTGCTCCTGGCTTCCCCGGTAGAGGAGGATCGCGTCGGGTAAAGTCGTCCTGAACCTCATCTGGACGCTCGGCGCTTGTGATCCCGCGTGCCGGCGACTCCTGTTCCCGTGTGAAACCTCCAGGACCACATGACCTCCGCCCGTCATGGAGAAGGTGGTGGAGGTTTCGCATCGCTCCCCATGAAAGCCAGGAGGGCACGTGCAGGTGTGTGTGTGCTCGTCTCCCTGCAGCGATGGCCAGCAGGTGGCGTTGTTTAGGCAGGGGTCGTTCACACACCCGGTCAGTGTCACGTCACAGTGCCGGCCGCCCCAGGGCATCTGGTCCCGCGCTGGACGAGGACAGTGACACGTGTAGTCGTTAATGCCATCCTCACAGCGGCCACCGTTCTGACACGGCTCGCTCTCACACTCGTCCACGTCAGTATCACACACCACACCTGCAGGGGAACACACACACACACACACAAACAGGTCATGTGAGGCTTGAGGCATTCGAACTGCTGTTAGAAAAGAAAAGAATATAGAAAAAAAAAATAATAATGCATTAAATATACAATAATACTAAAGAAAAAATAAGAATTATCACTATTGTTAAAAACATTATTTATGTAATATCATACAAATATATATATATATAATATAGAAAGATAATATGTTTTATTATTATTGATAATATAAGAAAAATACTATAATATTAAATATACCATTACTGTTGTAATATGTCACTATAATATAAAAATGGATTATTTAAGTAATACAATATAAAAACAAATATATTGGAAAAATATAATATTACATTTTATTATTTCTGTTGATATAATAATAACGATAATATAATAATAAAACGAACAATTATACAACAAAAAATAGGGAAAAAATATTACTAAAGTAAAAAAAGCATATATATAAAAATACAGATTGTGGATCATAATAATAATAGCAATACTATAAAAATTAATAATATTACTGTTGTAATAATTCACTGTAAAATTAAACATAATCAAGCAATCTAATATAACAATTTACTAAGTTTTATTTTTATTATGATTATCATTGTTGTTGATAATAATATTACATAAAATATACAATAATACTAAATATAAAAAATATTACTAGTGTAATATTTTGTTGTAAAATGCACTAATATTATGGCTAACACGTATATTTATTTAATTTAATGTATAATTGCAATAAGCCATCTCATGATTCCAGTTTTATTTTGATGAATTGCGGAGCTTTTGCAACACTCTTTTCATGATGATTTTAGAGGTCTGTGACTAAGAAAGTGATTGGTTATAATAAAATTTGTTTATAATAAAACTTAATTTGAGTGAAAGCCAACAAAACAAAAAAAATGCAACTGACAATGTAAATCATAAGCAGAAACTTATGAAGCAACTGCAACCTTAATCAATGCGAACACACAGTGAGATAAAAACAAATAAATTGACTTTTAATTGCATTGACTTTAAGCCTTTTAGTAATGTAATCCTGGTAAAAGGATTGGCATGCCGGCATATGGTGAACAGTTTCTTCTACTTAACTGAAGTTTATTTAGTGTGTTTAGTAAACTGTTAACTACTAATACTGCACCTGTAAATATGACCAAACACGAGCACTCGAGTAAACATGCAGTTATAATCAGTGTCATCATCATGCAAACTGGACACAGTTCTAGTTGCTTGTAATACATTTTGTAAATAAGATTACTGATAAGCTGCATGGAAACAATGTGTATTGTGAAAAGCACTATACAAATGAAGCTGACTTGATGACTCGCATGTTATTCAGAATGCAAAAAGTGCTCTGCAGTTAAATTTATCATGCATATACTGTATATGAGGAAAAAACAAGTTAATATACTGAAAACAACAGTATAGCACCAATTTCAAGAGCAAACAAGAACAATAGAGTGGACATGTGCAGTATCTTTTACAGTACAAATATCTAAATTCTTAAATCAAGAGATGCAATAATAAAATAATAGTCTTGTTTTCACAGAAATTTAATGCAAAGGCAAAATATGTTTATTTTTCTGAGCCCACTCGCAGAAATATCTCAAATTCTTAAATAAAGATATGCAAAATAACATTAAATAAGAGTCTTGTTTTCTGGAGAAATTCTTCTAAAGAGAAATGCACTTGAACAGGAAAAACACGTTTATTTTTCTGACCCCATTTAAAACATTTTTTTTAACATAAACTCACTTATTTATGATACATACTTTTCAGAAAACAAGACTTCTTATCGTGTCACTGTAGGCTACATGCACTGCAATACAAAACTGAGTGAGATAATCACTTGTTGCAGTGAAAGGGAATGTCTTTATTTGTGCTTTTGAATGAGTTTGTGCCTTTATGTATGATATTCATCATTAAATTTAATTTCAAAGTAAGGAAGCAGTCGCTCGTGGTGGACAGGACAATCCCGGAAATGGCCATGCACCCATTGAACAATATGAGATATTCTCCATTGATTTTAACCAATTAAATAATCTATAGCAGCATTCAGACACGATTATCTTCACTTTTTTTTATAGTTTTTCTGTGGCGCCACAGAAAAGCTCTCGGATTAAATCTAAAATATCCTAAACTGTGTTCTGAAGATGAACGGAGGTCTTATGCCTGGTTCAGATTACACAATTTTTTATCTGTTACGATAGTCACTGTGTCAGATTACGCGATTTTGACCCCTAAAATCTTGTTATGTTGTGTACAAGACACATGTCAGACTACTCATTGCTTACTGACCAGTCCTCGAATGCCGTCTTTAATGGCGCGCGTATAATGGCGAAACGAGTAGCGAGTGAGTTCCGGAAATGAATGTAAACAAACAATGGATGAAGCGGCGAGTGTTGCATTGGCTGTCCTGTGTTCAGAAAAAAGTTTAAAAACAAAAACCCGACAATGGACACGTTCCTGGATTGCTGGAAGAGGACAGTATGGCTGTCAATCCTCCAAAGAGAACTTGAGGTAAAATATTGTTTTCTCATAATTTTTCACTTTTAACGTTAGCAGCACCACCGTCTTTCTATCGTTTCGCCATTTTTAAAAGTTGTGTACGGAAAAGCTTCAGTGCTCCTATTGGTCAACCTCATGCATGTGACGGAACCGTCGTGGACGACCGTTAAAAAAATTAAAACATGCTAGTCTTTTTGTCGTGAAGCATCGCAGACGCGACGTAGGTTGTCGCCCACAAGAATAGAATAGTGACGTTTTTATGTGGGCGGAGCAGAAAGATCCATCTGGCCGCTTCACTAACGCTAGTTAGCAAGGATTGTTAGCTTGTTTTTTTTAACAATGACTGGAGAAAATCCGATATTATCTTAATGTGTAAGGTCACCCAGTGTCCAGGACCGCGATTGCTATTTCCAAACGTTATTTTTAACGGACGGAACCAGATTGGCCGACCCGTAGCCGCCTACATGCTCACTCAATGCATGGACGATCTGACGGGATTAACGTACGTTACCTCGGTTGAGTGGCCTGACTTCTACACCTACCTTATAGAGAAACCGATCGTAAATGGAAACTTAGGGCATATAAATCTTTAGATGCCTATATGGCCCTGTAGAAGACTTGAGTGTACGATCCGCAGTTCTGCCGAGCCAGCGCCGAGACCACGACAATGTAAAGAGTGACATTACAGTGCGATGTTAATGATGTGAATGTGAATATTTTCTAGAAATAAAAGTTCCAGATACAGCATATTAATTTTTCATCAATTCTTGCACCAAACAACACAACAAGACGACATTTAATAATAGTAACAATTATTTACGCTCCTCATTATGTAGCCGAATCTGTGCTGGTTTGTATTGACCACTTTGTTTTGCCGCCAGCTAGCGCCGTGGCGTAACTGTGACGTCAGTGCAAAAGGGGTCTATAGAATTCAATTTATTGTCATTGCATGTCACAGGTACAAGCAACGAAATACAACTGCATCCATCCAGAAGTGCTTTAGCAAGAATATATTACAAGCTATGTACATGCTATGAACAGTAAATGTTTATAAATATAAACCTTTATGAAACACTATACGAGATGATACGATCTTAAACCGTTGTCGTTTACGAATCCCCACGACACCCTACGTCAAACGGATCGTGCCAAAATCGGGCTAAAATCGTGTAATCTGAACCAGGCTTTGGACGACATGAGGGAGAGTCATTAATAACATCATTTTTGGGTGAACTAACCACTTGACTTTCACGATTGCCTGCCTATGCAGATGACTTCCAGAACGCTCCGACACTTTACCTGTGAGGAGAAGCATCCCACTGCAGAAGACTTTCACTATCAGTCCTCTCATCCCGCAAGCGTCCCGGCGGAGGCCCTCTCCTCAAGGCTAAAGACTGACACGAGTGACGGTTCACAATGCAATCTCTTCCTACTTCTCTCGGTGCTCCCGTCTTTCCGGCTTCTTTGTATTTTCCCGTTTTGCACAAGCGCACACCCACAGTGGACGGAGCTCTCGGTGCCGAGCGTCCCGGAGCGAGTGGGATAATAATCCACAGATTCCCTCCCTTCCCAGCTGGCTCCTGTCTGCTGACATCAGGAATGCTTATGCCAACTCATTCCTGGAGATGTGGGTTGAGTCCGTGTCCGAGGCCTCAGACCTACACGACTTTCAAGCACTGGCCAGAGGTGACGCACAAGCGATCAGGATTGAAGTTTCTCTGGGAAATGAGAAATCCGCCATCTTCAAGTTGTTAGTCCAAGCTGTGTTGGTCTTTCAGGATCATCTGTCTTAATCCGCTCTCCTGTAAGCGTCTCACTTCACTTCACACAAACACACTATTACAACAGGGTTTGTTTTCTGAAGGTTGGGAGTGTCTGTGACTTCAGACTGGATCTGTGATTAAGACTGAGGTGGGAGTTTACACAGTTTCACTCCTACATTTATTAGAGTAAATAATGTTTTTTTGAATATCTTGGATCACTTCATTTGTTAAAGTGGTGACTTCATATCAGTTTAAAGGGAAAATGGATTCTGCTGAAAAAGTCCCCCTGTGGTGAAAATCCAGCTTTTAATGTTGTTTACGTGTCTATGTGTTGCTTTTAATACGTTTTAAGTCAAAAAAATTCATAAGTGGACAGCATTGCTGAGTATTTCATCCTTAAAACTGCAGTGAACCAAAGACCGTCTCAAAAACACGCTTTGAAATCGCTGGTGTTTCTGACGTCACAAACCACCTTGTAACCAATCAGATCAACGAGTGATCGTCAACCAGTGGATCTCTGAGGGAGTGAGTGAGTGGAGGCGGGGCTCATTTGCATATTCATAGCACCACAAATACTAAATGAGGCAAGGGTCTTGAGTTACATTCAAGGCATGAAGGAAAAAATGTATAAATATGTAATTTTTTAGATCAAAAATGAGTTTTAAGTGATAAAATGATTAACTACAGTGGGACTTTAAAGGAGTAGTTCACTTTAAAAAAAACTTTTGCTGATAATTTACTCACCCCCATGACATCCAAGATGTCCATGTCTTTCTTTCTTCAGTCGAAAAGAAATTAAGGTTTTTGATGAAAACATTCCAGGATTTTCTCCATATAATGGACTTCAATGGGGACCAAACGGTTCAAGGTCCAAAAGATACTTTCAGTGCAAACTGCAAACTGTTCAAAGGGCTTTAAACGATTCCAGACGATGAATAAGGGTCTAATCAAGCGAAACGATCGCTCATTTAAAAATAAAAAAACTAAGTTTAAGTTTTATAAGCTCAAATGCTTGCCGTGCTCTGTTCTTTGATGCACGTCCGTGACTCTTTTATTCGAACTCGTTCATCAAAAAGAACGAATCTTTTCCCGAGTCAACTCGTTCATTTCGTTCGTTGAATGAACCAAATGACATGAAAAAAGATTTGTTCATTTGTTCATTTCACGAATGCTCATCATAGAACAGAGCAAGGTGAGCATTTGAGCTTATAAAACTTAAACTTTGTTATTTTTTTTATTTTTTTAATGAGCGATCGTTTCGCTAGATAAGACCCTTATTCATCGTCTGGAATCGTTTAAAGCCCTTTGAAGCTGCACTGAAACTCTCATTTGGACCTTGAACCTTTTGGACCCCATTGAAGTCCATTATATGGAGAAAAATCCTGGAATGTTTTCATCAAAAACCTAAATTTCATTTCGACTGAAGAAAGAAAGACATGGACATCTTGGATGACATGGGGGTGAGTAAATTATCAGCGAAAGTTTTTTTTAAAGTGAACAACTCCTTTAATCGTTTTATTTTACGTTAAAATATATGCATTATGAACAAAGAACCGTCATTGTTTCCAAGCTAGGTGTTTTTGTTAATCCTGTCTTCATTTAGTTGTGAATGGGTCTCCCACTGCTTGATCACGCCATTCATTTCTCCCCTTTCGGGAAGGAAAAAAAATTCAATCCCCCATCCAAACTTTGAGGACACCGGATATCAGATTTGCACAATCCATACACACAGGTTTCCCTCGCTCGAAAGCTTGCCAGACCTCCCGTGCCTAGTTACAGTTGCTAAACCATGAGTGGCGTGGCTTAGCGAAGGGTCAATTGGATATATTTGCATTATTTGGATTGCTTTACAGATCGGAGCAGACGTACACACCTGTGAACCCCGGCGGACACCGGCACTGAAATGCATTGACGAGATCTTCACAGGTTCCTCCGTTGTCACACGGTGCCGACTCACATTCGTTGATGTCCACTGAACAGTTTTCACCTGAGAAACAGAGACGCTGCGGTCGGTCACTGATGCGCTTTAATGCTGTGTGAGCAGCGGTCAGCGGCGTTTCTCACCAGTGAACCCAGCCAGACAGTGGCACAGGTATCCAGACGCGCGCTCGTAGCTGAAGTCCTGGTCCAGTTCAGGAAAAACCCGGTAGTGTCTCGCGTCGGACCGCTGGAAACATTCACCACCGTTTACACACGGCCGCGCGTCACACTCGTCCACGTCAACCTCACAGTTCTCGCCTTCATATCCTGAAATAAAGAACAGAAAAGACTCGAGGAGAACTGACTTTACACTTCATATTTTCAATGAGCTTTTAGGTGATGTTTTAGTAGTGTTGTCAAGTTTGTACAAATGTGTGTGAGATGCAGAAAGTTTCGAATTCATTGTGTGCTATTGCTATTTAAATTTAATTTATTTTTATTTCAATCTTATTTTATATTTATTTCCATTTGATCATTTTAATCCTTCAACATTTTTATTTTTTGTTTGGTTTAAGTTGTCTTAACTATTATCGATTTTATTTTATTTCACAGAAATGTTTTTAATAAATTTATTTTTAGGAAAGGAATTTATTTTAGTTAGGAAAATAACCATTTCATAATTCCACTAAATATCACCAGCTGATTAAAAGACAATTATGAGCAAAAAAAATATTATTTTTGTTATTATATAAGGGAAGTTATTGAATAGAAAAGATATTAAAATAATGGGGCTGTCAAACGATTAATAAACAAAAAACAAAATAAAAGTTTGTGTTTATCTAATATATGTGGGTGCACTGTGTAGGCCTATAATTATTTTATCTACATAAATAGACACACATGAATGTATATTTAAGAAAAAATAGTTATATTTATACATAATATAAATTATATATAAATCTATATACATAATATACATGAAAATATTCCGTAAATATATACAAGCATGTGTGTGTATTAATATATATAAAATAATTATACACAGTGCACCCACATATATTAGATCAACACAAACTTTTATTTTGGATGCGATTAATCGCGATTAATCATTTGACAGCCATAAAAAATAATGCAATGCAGTAGGCTATAAATACAGTCAAAATACTTAGTTTTATACAGTTTTTGCAGCTCAGGGATTTTATACTGAACTAAAACTGAAACTAAAACCATAAAAAAAAACTTTTCGTTGCTTAAAATAAAAATACAGAGAGAGAGAGAGAGAAATACACAACAAAGTTTCAAAACTGTACTTTAAATATAAATATATGAAATAAAAACTGATTCAAAATATGAATTAAAAGTAGAATAGCATGTCAATGGTCCTAAAATAACACTGTCTGTAGCGTTAACACATCTCATGTGTTTACAGTAAAGCTAGTCGTGATTTAGCAGACGCCTTTATCCAAAGCGACTTTCACACTTGGATCAGACAGAGGTTACGAGCAACGGTGACGGTTCACGGATCAACGCTTCCCAGATCTTTAACCTCGAAGCCCTATTAAGCAGCATTTATAAAAGCATACGTGCTTCTGCTTCATTGGTGAGGGGAAATGTAACTATCAATAAGTTTAAAGAAAGATTAAAAAGTAGGGTGAGGTTAAAAGCTCCGTGGAGAAGATTATCACTTGAACAGATGGACACTGATACGAAAGAAGATTTATAATCTGAATCCACTATAATTTGTTTGTTTTATACTTATATTGCTTCTTTCCTGAATAATAAATGTAAAGGATTTGTTGTGGAGTGAGGAAATTAAACACAAGTTTATAGAGTTTATAATGTTTTTAAACCAGAATTTGATATAATTTTTAAATGTATAAAATGTCAAATGTAAATGAAAATATTAATGTAAAATAAAATGTGACTCATCTGTTTCATATAATATAATATAATATAATAGTGTAAAATAAAGAAATAAAATGTGACAATTTCTTTTCTGTCAACAATGCAATTTTGAACCATTCATTTCATATACTGTATACATTCAATACACTCACTAGCCACTTCATTAGGTCACCTGTTCAACTGCTCATTAACACAAATAGAGCATCTCTGAACACACAACACACCAAACCTGGAAGCAGAAGAGCTACAGCAGCAGAAGACCACACATAGTATTTATTCAATGCTAATGTCCATTTAAATCTTATGGTTCTCTTTGCAATTGCTTACATGTTTCTCTAGGTGGCAGTGTACGGAGGCGTATTGCATTCACTTGAAGAAAAAAAAATCTACTCTGTTTTTCTGAATTAACGAGTTAATTTTTCATGAGAAAAAAAAATTGCTCTGTTTTTCTGAATTAATGAGTTAATTTTTCATGAGAAAAAAAATTTGCTCTGTTTTTCTGAATTAACGAGTTAATTTTTCATGAGAAAAATTTTTTTTGCTCTGTTTTTCTGAATTAATGAGTTAATTTTTCATGAGAAAAAAAGTTTTTGCTCTGTTTTTCTGAATTAATGAGTTAATTTTTCATGAGAAATTTTTTTTGCTCTGTTTTTCTGAATTAATGAGTTAATTTTTCATGAGAAAAAAAGTTTTTGCTCTGTTTTTCTGAATTAATGAGTTAGTTTTTCTTGAGAAAAAAAGTTTTTGCTCTGTTTTTCTGAATTAATGAGTTAATTTTTCATGAGAAAATTTATTTTTGCTGTTTTTCTGAATTAACTCATTAATTCAGAAAAACAGAGCAAAAAAAAAAAAATTCCATTAAAAATTAACTCATTAATTCAGAAAAACAGAGCAAAAAAAAATTTCTCATGAAAAATTAACTCGTTAATTCAGAAAAACAGAGTAGATTTTTTTTCTTCAAGTGAATGCAATACGCCTCCGTAGCAGTGTGCTGTAAGAGATCATCACTGATTTTTTTTTTTTTTTGTATAGTTTTTTTTTTTTTTTTTGCATTATGTACAAGACAGGGAACGAACAAAAACTGTAAGACACTTCCATTTAGCTAAATACAGAATTTGAGATCATCACTGATTTCATCATGCTGTAATTGATAGTGCATTTGAATGCATGAATAAACACAATAGCGATATGATGAACAGGTTGAATTAAAGACGGGTTACCTGGCCAGCAGAGGCAGGAATACTGGTTAACTCCTTCCTGGCAGGTGGCAGCGTGCAGACAGGGGTCAGACACACACTCGGGGATGTCTTCTTCACAGAAAGAGCCCATAAATCCAGTGCCACTGCAGTCACACTCAAAGCTGTAATGCAGAGCACAGTCTGATGTGTCAAGAAATCATTTTACACGTGAGCTGCGGTTTGAACCCTTTTAAAGGACAAACATCATCTCTGTTCATTGTTTTAGTGTTTACAGTTTAATATTGTACAAAAGCTTTTAAACTCATTCCATTTAGCTAAAAACTGCTTTAATGCTTCAATATTTCCACCTTAAATACTTCAGAATACATATGGAATACAGTAACAGTATTATAGTCAATAATGATCATCTTTGATCACCAAAATGACATATTTAAAAGTTTTTTCCTTAAAATATCTTGAATGTAACTCGACACCCTTGCCTCATTTAGTATTTGGGATTCTGTGAATATGCAAATGAGCCCCGCCTCCACTCACTCACTCAGGTCAGAGATCCACTAGTTGACGATCACACGTTGATCTGATTTGTGACGTCAGAAACACCAGCGATTTCAAACCGTGTTTTTGAGACTGTTGATGACCTACTTTATGTGTCTATGTGGTGTTTTTAATACTAACGCATATTAAAACAGCATATAGACACATAAACAACATTACAAGTTGGATTTTCACCACAGGGGGACTTTAAAAACGTAAGTGTTTAATGTTGTTTATATGTCTGTTTTTGATATGCTGAAAGACAAACTATGAGAAAATTCAAAAGTCAAGCGAGTCCAACAGGTCGTCACTGATCGAGTGGAGGCGGGGACTAATTTGCATATTTATTGTTCCTGTAGAACTCAACCAATCAGTTGACAAAGCTCAGATTGATCAAATACACTTACCTGTTCACCCTATCCACACACGTCCCTCCATGTTGGCAGGGTGAACTGTCACACTCGTTGATGTCCAGCTCACAGTTAATGCCCTCGTACCCCGACACACATGCACAGGTGTACAGACCCACGTGATCATGACAGGTGGCGCCGTTCTGACAGGGATCCTCATCACATTCATCAATGTCAACCTCACAGTTCACTCCTGCAGGACGGTACAACACACACACACACACACACACACAGTACTATGATGCTGCATTTCCTATATAACATTAACAGAGTTTTTAAACATTGTATAACTTCTAACGGTGCATTTTGAAAATGATGATAATTCAGTACTATGGTATACACTAGTACCAGTCCAAGCTTGACTGAACTTTTTTCATGATCTTTATTTAATTTCTTTTTAGATGCTGTGCAAAAAACTGCTTAAATGTCTGAAATTGTTTTTGTAGACAAATATAAATTGTCTGTAAATAGAATTCTTTATACATCTACTGTTTAGAAAAATAGTTAAATAGTTCATTTTAAATTAATAGAGGGAACATCCAAAGAAAATCAAATATAATATTTTTTTACATAATTATTATAAATAAATAAATACATTTTATTTGCAGTGAAGTCGGCGGAGAGAATATCCAAGAAAAGTCAATTATAAAAATATTTTAAAAATATTATTATAAATAAATAAATACATACATTTTATTTGCATTGAAGTCGGCTGAATGTCCAAGAAAAGTCAATTATAAAAATATTTTTAAAATATTATTATAAATGAATAAATATTTGCATCCAAGTTGCCTGAGAGAATGTCCAAAAGAAACTCAAATATAACAATATTATAATAAAATGATAAATAAATAAATATATAAATAAACATTTGCTGTGCATTCGGCACAGAGAGTGTTCAAAGAAACTCAAATTTATTTGTTCAAAATGTTTTGGTCAATAATAACTCATATTCACAACTCTATTTTTATTTTAAAATATGAAAAAAAAAATATTCATATAGAATCAGCAGACTCTTCTATGGTGTAATGCTTATAAGATAAGATAAGACGCTGTAATTCATTGCAAAGTTTCCTGTATTGTAACAATCTTATTTTGTAACCGAATGTTATGTTTATGGTCTTCATGATTGTAAATGTGTTTTTTTTTGTAACAAAAAATAAATAATTATAATATTAATAATAAATATTTGATCGGAGATTTAAACACAGTGCACATGTCTAGGCTGAAACAAGGCTAAATTTGGGTTTTCAGAGAAAATGTATTAGACATCTAAACCTAAGAATAGACTAGTCATCAATTAGATAACAAAGAAATGAAATGAGTGAAGAAATAAAAAAAAAACACCTTGTTATCACTGTTCACTTTGCTTACATGATGGAATTTGATACATCTCGCAAGTTATTTCATTGTATTAAGGTTATTTCATCTAGAAGTGAGTTACTCATAGCCGGACTGTCTCTGGTCTATAGTTAACCGAGACGAGGACATGACGGATATTGCTAGCTAGCCACAGTGCTTACCCGTAAACCCAATCAGACATTCGCAGATGTACCGGTCCTTCCCGTTGATGCACGTCCCGTTGTTCTCACAGGGTTGGGATGCGCACTCGTTGATGTCAATGTCACAGTGGTAACCTTGAAAACCAGGTACGCAGAAGCACTGATACACACCAGGACCGTCCTGACAGATGGCACCGTTCCTGCAGGGCTGCGACACACACTCATCCACGTCTACTTCGCAGTTTTGACCTAGGAAGCCCGCGGGACACTGGCACTCGTATCCGTTCGGCGCCCACACGCAGGTGGCGTTGTTGTGGCACGGGTCATCGGCACAGTGTCGGACCCTCGTCCTGCAGTCCTCCCCGCTGTATCCGCTGGGACAGTGACACGAATATCCGTTCTCCTCATCCACACAGAAGCTCTTGACCCCCGCACAGGGGCTGCTCTCACATTCATCGATGTTCAGGTCGCAGGCGAGTCCGGCGAACCCGTTGGGACACACACAGGTGTGGTTGCGCGTCCCTAAAATGCTCACACACTTGTAGACACAGTCTGCTTTGTCACACGGGTTGTATAAATGCTCACAGTGTTCACCGACGTATAGAGGCGGAGAGTAAGAACACACACACGTGTAAGAATCGCCCAGAATCGGTACACACGTGCCGTTGTTCTGGCATGGAGAAGGCACACACACTTCAGACGTGACCGGGCAGAACACACCTGCGGGTACAGAACACCAATCATTTATTTATTCATTCATTTATTTACTTACTGATTTGCTGCTTCCTTCCTTCCTTACTTACTTACTACTTCCTTCCTTACTAATTCCTTTCTTCTTTCCTTCCTTACTAGCTACTTCCTTCCTTCCTTCCTTATTTAGTTACTTCCTTCCTTCCTTCCTTCCTTACTAGAAGGAAATAGCCGAAACTCGTAGCAGTGACACGAATATCCTCATCCACACAGAAGCTCTTGACCTTCTTTACTTACTTCCTTCCTTCTTTCCTTCCTTCCTTCCTTACTAATTCCTTCCTTCTTTCCTTCCTTACTTCCTTACTAATTCCTTCCTTCTTTCCTTCCTTACTTCCTTACTACTTCGTTCTTTCCTTACTTACTAACAACTAACTTCCTTCCTTATTTACTTCCTTCCTTACTACTTCCTTCCTTCCTAAATCCTTCCTTCTTTCCTTCCTTACTACCTTCCTTACTAACTACTTCCTTCCTTACTTACTAACAACTTCCTTCCTTCCTTATTTAGTTACTTCCTTCCTTACTACTTCCTTCCTTCCTTACTTACTAATTCCTTCCTTCTTTCCTTACTAGAAGGAAATAGCCAAAACTTGTAGCAGTGACACGAATATCCGTTATCCTCATCCACACAGAAGCTCTTGGCCTTCCTTACTTCTTTCCTTCCTTCCTTACTTACTAACAACTTCCTTCCTTTCTTATTTACTTCCTTCCTTCCTTCCTTCCTTACTACTTCCTGCCTTACTTACTAATTCCTTCCTTCTTTCCTTCCTTACTAATTCCTTCCTTCCTTCCTTACTTACTTATTAATTCCTTCCTTCTTTCCTTCCTTACTTCCTTACTACTTCCTTCCTTCCTTCCTTACTTACTAACAACTTCCTTCCTTCAGATTGGGACTTTCTCAGTTCAGTTTTGATTAGTGCACAATCCTGCTTTGCACCTGGAATGTGAAGAATGACATAAAACACCTCATACACTTGACCTTTAACCTCGACTTGCTCTAGGGTCACAGGCCCTTCAGTGTGCGAGTACGCAAGCAGTTAACCGACTTTCTAAATTCTGGACAAACACTTCATCCAATGCAATTTGGTTTTAGAAAAAGATTCTCGACCAAAATGGCTACCTGCTATTTTGTTGAAAAAATCAAATCTAAATCGAATAATCCAAATTAGAGTTTAGTTAGAAAACAGAATGCAGAATTGCAATTTGAATGTAATTTACGAGTTAAAAAAGACTAGATAGAGAGACAGACAGACAGACAGACAGACAGACAGACAGACAGATAGATAGATAGATAGATAGATAGATAGATAGATAGATAGATAGATAGATAGATAGATAGATAGATAGATAGATAGATAGATAGATAGATAGATAGATAGATAGATGTCTTCTGCGTGACAGAGTAAGAGTAAGTGAGATTTTAGTAAGTAAAACAGACATTCAGAAGATTCACCTCACAGAGATCTGGCACACTCAAAGCCTCTTACAGAAACTCTACACGCGTGTGAACGAGTTCATGTCACGAGATCTCAGATGAGAGACCTTTAAAACGACATTCAGGACAAGTGTGTTGTAGATACCAGACCTGAACACACACATCGGGCTGGAAAGGCAGATTTAGACTGGGATTGCACTGGGATAAAGGGGTTTTGGCCCTCACTAGCACCTCCACCGGCAGATGGGTGCGCGACGTAACCGTCTTACACACTCACACACACTGACTTAACCTACACCAGATGCTCCGTCAATGGATTGTGTCAGCTTGACCGACCACCGCTCCCCGAGAGTAATCCGTCCACACGCACGTGATGCTGAATATACCTGTCAATCATTCACAAAGCCTGCAAACCCTCAAACTGTCCATGCTGGGGACGACGACTGAGAAATCACTGCTAATGTCACACTTTTATGAGTGTAGTTTACAATCCAGCTTAACAGGCTTCACCATGAACAGAGAACAGTGAAGTTAGGCTTGTAAATAGAAAGGTTATGCATTAGTTAAACTACACCAGCACTTATAAGCAGAACACACTTTTCTATCCCATTATTGGTTTTTGTTATTTTGAGGATCAGTCGATTTTAGGTTTAAGGATCTAAATGTTGGTTATTGCATTAGCTAACAATTCATTAATCGTTGGTAACATTAGTCAGACTGTTAGTTCATGTCAACTCAGGTCCATTACATAACATTAACACACAACTTTTGATTTTAATAATGTAAATCTTTAGTCATTTAGTAAATGCTGACATGGACAGAATAAATGCTTTAAAAGTATTTAGCATTGTTAGTTAATATATTAATAAATAAATAATAAAAAATGAAAAAAAGTAAAGCTCTTTATGTCTAATTTTAATGTCTCTTTTTACCATTTATAAAGCATATAAATACAGAAAAGTTATATATAAAGTTTTTATTATTATTAAAGATACAAAAAATTAAACGCGTCTTAATATTCTACACAGTTTTCTCAAGGAAATGTATTTTGTTTAAGGATGTTTGGAAGGCAGAAATACTGAATAAGAAGCATTTTAAACACATTTAAACATCAGTCTTTTAACATACACTCTTAGAAAAAAGGGTTATATGTAGCATAGGTTTCTTTACTCAACTCCAAAGGACATTTTATGCTAAAAAAAAAAAAGGTTCAATAATGACAAGAAAGAACACTTTTGGCACAAAGGTTCTTTAAAGGCTATTATTCGTTCATATATTACATTATTCTGCAACATTTTGTAGTTTGTTTATTAAACTGTTGTAGTAAGTTAATATCACATTTTAATCGTGCTGATTTTTGGAGGATAAAAACTGAAATGTCACTCTTTGTGTGATATTGATTAATTAAATTTTTTAACCACCATATCTTGAATTTTGTGATCATTCACATGCATTGGATTTTAGGGGTTCCAAATACGTAGCGCTTTAGAACCTTTTAAGGTTCTATATAGAACCTTTCCTTCTAAGAGTGTAAGCCTTCACACTTTCAGTAAACAAGAGAGAGAGAGAAACTGTGTCAGGAGGTCTATAGTGACTGTGAATGACCTACAGTCTCCTCTAATCCAGGATCATCCGAGAGAGAGAGAGAGAGAGAGAGAGAGAGAGAGATGAGCTTTAGAAAGAGACTTGAACACTGATCGTCAATAAAAAGAATAGATGGGTCCACTTTATTTTGATAGTCCACTTTCGACATCCTAATATAAGTAACTACATGTCAACTAAGAGTATTAGGCCCCGTCCACACTACTGCGTTTTCGTTTAAAAACGGAGAATTAAAACGAAAACGATCTCCGTCCACACTAGCTTTTTACCTGCGTATTAGAATTTATCTCCGTCCACACTAAAACGACTGAAAACGTGGATCACGTGACCATTCACCAACACTGGGCATGCGCGCGCCGGTGTAAACAGTGGTTGGCGAATCAGGGAAAGATACGTCATGACTGATGACACCCAATCATAGAGCCGAGCGTGAGCCTCTGCGTCATCGTTTGTAAACTCCTCCGTTTTGTCTCGTCCACACTAAAACGCCCTCCGGAGATTCAAAACGCAAAACGCAGCTGCAGCGTTTCTAAACTTCTCCGTTTTAGGTCTTCGTTTTTCCCGTTTTAGTGTGGACGGGAGGTGCAAACGTAGCAAAAGGTCTCCGTTTTTAAACGAAAACGCAGTAGTGTGGACGGGGTCTTAGACTGTCAGCTTAACATCTGCTAACACTTTATTTTGATGCTCCTCAACAGACATTTTACAGACTATAAGTAACTTAGGATCTACAAGTCAACTTATTCTACTAACCTGAGCCTAACAGTCCACTATAGTCTACTAATCCTCTAATGATGGTTAGTTGACATGAAGTTACAAAGTTACAAGTAGAAAGTGGACTGTTGAAATAAAGAGTTACCAATAGATGTTGTTGTTGAAATAAAAGTGCAGATCTGAAGTCTAGACGGGGCAGGCAGAGCTTACGATGGGCTTCAGGAGCTTCACTTTACAATAAAGTCCAGTGAAAAACATCTCGGATCTGCAGAGGAGTCATCGAACCCCCTCAGAGAGACGTACGGTATGAACCCTCAGGACAGAAGACTGTCTCCGACCCCCGTCCCGAGGAAAACCACTATAGATCCTTTAATAAACACATACCATTCAGTATTATTCGCTTCTCTACGAGCCAGTGTGTCTAATCAGCAAACTCAACCTTTTACATAACCTGGAACAATGATGATTAATCACGTCTACCATAAAAGTTTGTAAATATACACACACACACATATGTATATACATTTTCAAACTTTTATGTCAGATGCACTTAACCTGTTTGACAGCAATAGCTTTTTTTGCTTAGTATTTTTATCTTAAAAATCAAAAATCAAGATAAATTTACTTGAGAAGCAAAATTACTCACAAAAATCAGCAAAATTAAAGGAGTAGTTCACTTTTAAAAAAAACTTTTGCTGATAATTTACTCACCCCCATGTCATCCAAGATGTCCGTGTCTTTCTTTCTTCAGTCGAAAAGAAATGAAGGTTTTTGATGAAAACATTCCAGGATTTTCTCCATATAATGGACTTCAATGGGGACCAAATGGTTCAAGGTCCAAATGAGAGTTTCAGTGCAGCTTCAAAGGGCTTTAAACGACACCAGACGATGAATAAGGGTCTTATCTATAGGAACTTTTGAGTCATGACTCGAAAAAAGATTTGTTCATTTTGATGAGTTCAAACAGGAGAGTCACGAACGCTCATCACAGAACAGAGCAAGGCGAGCATTTGTGCTTATAAAACTTAAACTTTTTTATTTATTTATTAAATGGCCGCTCGTTTCGCTAGATAAAACCCTTATTCATCATCTGGTGTCATTTAAAGTCCTTTGAAGCTGCACTGAAACTCTCATTTGGACTTTGAACCGTTTGGACCCCATTGAAGTCCATTATATGGAGAAAATCCTGGAATGTTTTCATCAAAAACCTTAATTTCTTTTCGACTGAAGAAAGAAAGACATGGACATCTTGGATGACATGGGGTGAGTAAATTATCAGCAAAGTTTTTTTTTAAAGCGAACTACTCCCTTAAGTGAGTTTGTACTTAAAACCAGAAAAAAATGAGAAAACAATGTTATTTTTCTAACCGTACAAACATATGCACAAATATCTTATATTAAAAATATATACCGGTAAGTAAATGTATCTTCATTTAAACGCCCCTTTAAGAATAATTTGATATTTGTACTGGAAAGCAAGACAGAAACACAGAGTAAGAAAAATCATTTTTGCGATGTTTTCCAGTATTTAAACTCCACACAGATCCCTGCACACACACACATGTACAGTCTCTCGCTTGAAGGCATGTTTCTGTCATGTTTTCTTTGTCATAGCCAGTCAAAAATATATTGCATATTTCAACCAACTCCTGAACAAACGAGAATCAGACATGTGGCTCCATGTTCAACATTAAGTGAGAGCCGCTCCTGGACTTCATCACACACTCATTCTGACGGGAGAAACTCGACACAGCTCATATTAGTGTCTGAAGACGCTTTAACCCATGCAACGCTTTAGTGTGTGTAAAGGAGGACATGTGTGTGTGTGTTACTGTTATCTGACCTGACGACCTCTGACATCTGTGTGTCCGACAGATGAACCTCTTGAGATGGAGGAATCCTGAGCCTGGCACAGACACACACCAACGGCAGAGAGAGCAGGGAGGAAACACACTCGTACACACACACACACACACAGACTCATACTCTCACTCTCACACACTCCCTCAACACTCTCTCTCTCTCTCTCTCTCTCTCACACACACAACCGTTCAAAAGAAGTCATTTAAAAAAATATATTATTCAATTAATGAAATTAATATTTTTATTGAGGAAGGATGCATTAAATTGATCCATTATTTTTGGTAAAACCCTATTTAAAAGAAAATTAAAATTAAATATCATATATTTTAAGCTAAAAAGAGCAAATGTGAAAACTGTGAAACTGTGTGTTTTGAGTCTCACTTCATCTATCTGAGATAAGCGAGTGTTTCTGTGCTGTTCTGATGCAAAAACATCCCTCTATACTGGAAAACACAAACACTTTTCTGGAGATCATGAGTTTACCGTCACTAAATCCTCGGAAAACAACAATAACTCCCTGGAGAAAGAATCTTACATTCTCAAACACAAAGTAAGTTGATCCAGTCATGGTCACGGCTTCATCAGAGCTTAAAATACATTCAGTCGAAACAACTGTGAGCTGCTATTCCACTTAAACACAAAGAGTGAAGTGGCGGCGCTCTCCAGCGGGGTTTCCATGGCGATGGTCAACTATGGCGCACATCTTGCCCTGTGCTTTCAATCTGCCCAAAAGTACCCAGAATTCAGGCTTCCCGCAAGTGCAGAAATAGGTCATGGCTTCATTAGGGTGGAGCTCCCGAAATCACTCGCACTGAAACTCCCACCAGAACAATGAGAGACACTCATCCGAACGACACGATGACACGCTACTGTTTCATTCATAAGCTACAAACAGCTCATTAGTTACAAGCGTCAAGTTTACTACTGCTCAAGCTAACGGACGGTGAATCACCCACACCCGAATGATTCCTCAAATCATGTTGTTTAGGAGATTGTGCCGCTATTTTACTTAGTGATCAGATGCAGCATTTCCACCTGCTGGACTAGAAAACAGGTGGAAAAATCCCACAGGTGCACATTAAAGCAGGAAACTCACCAAAAACAGCCTAGCAATGCCCTAGCAATCACCCACAACATCCTGCAAATAGCAATGCCCAACAACACCCAATAAACCACCAAGCGATGCCCTAGCAACCACCCACAACATCCTAGAAATAGCCTAGCAACGCCCCAGCAATTACCCAAAACCCCCTAGAAATATCCTAGCAATGCCCTAGAAATCACCAACAACACTCTAGAAACAGCCTAGCAATGCCCAACAACACCCTATAAAGCACCAAGCAATGCCCTAGCAACCACCCACAACACCCAAGAAAGAGCCTAACAACGCCTATAGCAATCATCCACAATATCCTAGAAACAGCACTGTAATGCCCTGGCAACCACCCACCACACCCTAGAAATGGCCTAATGACACCCTAGCAACCACCCACAACACCCTAGAAACCACCAAGCAATGCCCTAACAATCATCCACAGCAACCAAGAAACAGCCAAGCAATGCCTTAGCAACCACCCACAACACCCTAGAAAGAGCCTAACAACGCCTATAGCAATCATCCACAATATCCTAGAAACAGCACTGTAATGCCCTAGCAACCACCCACCACACCCTAGAAACGGCCTAATGACACCCTAGCAACCACCCACAACACCCTAGAAATCACCAAGCAATGCCCTAGAAACCACCAAGCAACGCCCTAGCCATCGTCAACAACAACCTAGAAACAGCCCAGCAATGCCCTAGCAACCACCAACAACACCCTATCAACCACCAAGCAATGCACTAGCCTATAGCAACAACCTACTGTACCACTGGATCCTAGAAACAGCCTCGCAACACCCTAGCAATCACCTATAAATCACCTAGCAACGCCCTACCAACAAACCACAACTGAAAAGCAAATGGCAACACCTGTGAAAAAGTTATTTGAAGCACCACGTTACTTTCAAAAGGAGAGTAAATGATGACAGAATTTACACTTTTGAGTGAACCATCCCTTCAGTCATTGTCGTGATAAGAGATTGCGTGAGTTTTTGAATCGAATCACAATCTTTTAACGATCTTGCAGCTTTACATTGTATATATGCAACCGAGTTTACACCTAAACGCATGTTTTTAATATTAGTTTCCCCCTCAGGAGGCCAGCAGCAGCTGAACGAGTGTGTGTGTGTGTGTGTGTGTGTGTGTGTAAGTGAGGGCCTTTTCTGATTCTCACTCATTCTGAAGGATCTGACGGCCAGCTGGCCGCACTCGTCCTCTACATGCGCTAATTCCCAATTACTGCACCTCTTCTCTTCAGGACACCCCACCGCAGATGGTGCCACTACACAAATCCAACTCTCTCTCTCACACACACACACACACACACACACACACACACACACACACACACACACACACACACACACACACACACACACACACACACGCACGCAGTAAACGCATCTGCTTGCAAGACATAACCTGCCAACTGCAGATGCTCAGCCTCATGATGCAGAACTCTTCACTGAGACACTTGTTGCATTCAATCCTTTAATTAGACGCTTTAGAGAACCAAAACAAAACATATAAAGTCTAATAATAATATAATGCTGTGTGTCACTAACACTCCGTAGTGAACATGCTATTCTATATAAAAATGTTAATGACATGTTATATAGGCTACGAACTGTTTTCTATTCGACTGTTCAAAAGTTCGGGGTTTGTTAGCCTATATATTTTAAAATGTTTTGAAAGAAGTTTCTTTTACTCATGCACTACAAATTTCTATATGAATATAAAATGTAATCAAAGCTGAATTATCATCATTAGGCCTACTCCAGTCTTCGGTGTCACATGATCCTTCAGAAATCACTCTAATATAATGATTATAATGAAACCGTCATATTTTTTTAGACACAAAGTTCAAACGAACATCATTTATTTGACATATACATCTTCTGAAACATTATAAATGTCTTTAGTCTGTCACTTTTGATTAAAAAAATAAATAACTAGCCCTTCTCGCGGTGTTTGGATTATACTCAAATGATCTTTAGAAATAAACTTAAGTCAAATATGAACTGATAAAACGTGTCTTACCCAGCTTGAACATCAGTGACAGCAGGACTGCTCTTTTATACCGCAAATAAATCCGTCCAAACTCCATGTCCTGAAGTGATGCTCGACTTCCAGACTTTAAACCCGCGCACACGTGTGGAAATATTCCCACATCATCGTGTTTTCATCCTGAGTGAAGCTCTGTGTGTTCTCCGAGTCTCACACACACTCGCGGCTGTGATAAACTCTCTGCGGGATGATGGAAAACACGGCGTGGATGTTTATTCTTTATTCTGCTTTTATTAACTCCCTTCTGCTGGATGGAGGAGCACGTCACGATCTGTCAAATCTTCATCTCTCTCTCTCTCTTTCTCTTTCACTCACTATGATTGTCACTGAATAACTCCTCCCTCCCTCTCTCTCTTCAGAGGAGCAGATGGCCATTACCTCTGATCACATTTGCATGACCTTCATAACAAACGAGTGTTAGTTTAAGCTAATTCCGCTGTTAAACCTGCATGATATGGGGGGAAAGAAGATTAGAGAGGGGGAGGGAGAGAGGGAATCTTCATTATTCTATAAATCATCAAAACTGCATGCATAATAATAACAATAATAGACAGATAAAGTTGCTTAAAGTAGTTTTAGATGAAGTAGCCTAAACTTTTGAACCAAAATCTGTGTTTATGAGGTCAGATCTGTATTAAAAAACCCGATCACACTAAATGCGTCTTTATAGCACGCATGCGTATTGAGTTTTTACGTGCATAGGCTATGATACGCGTTGGTTTGGTGTGGGGTGGGGTGCGTGTATACATTTGGCTAGAATTAGTGGGGAAATGACCTGCGTATCAAATGCACGCGAAAAACTGCGTCTCACGTAAAAACTCATTTTCGCATATAAATTACACGACAATACACGATGCGTGTTATAGAGACGCATTTACGTGAGCCGATAGGAGTAAACGGACCGCTGACAGCAGCTGTTCACATTCGTAGCCCATCATATTCAAATAATAGGCTAATACAATTTTTGTCACATGACTAGCCTATATTAGCATGTTAACGGAGTAGGTGTAGAGAGGTTTATGAGAAAAAGTTCAAGTTCAAATGTGTTTTTTTTTACTCTTAACCAGGGATATTAAACTTAACTAAAACCATACAATTTTTTTACTTAAAATAATATTTATATACTGTACATACACAAACATTTTTTGTTTAAATTGATTGAAATAACTAAAACTGAAATAAATTACAAATAAATAAAACATTAACATATTAAAGTAACAACAAAAAACATACAACAAAATCTCTGAGCATATTAACTAAACTAAAAATACTGAAATAAAATCAAATTCAAAATGTGAATAGCATCTTAATGATTCTGCTGGTGGTGTAAACACAGGTATGTTCATCATCGTCTGCATTCCTGACGGGACACACACACACACACACTCATCTCCATGGGTTCGGGATCCCTTTAATGGGCCTGTAAACCTTCCAGACATTTTATTCTAATGAGGGAGATTAAGAGCTTTCCTACACATTCTTGTGGAAGGTGTTTCACTTCAAATCAACCGTGTTGAAAAGTTGTACAATGGACCCAATGTTTGTTCCCATTCAGCATAAAAACCATAAGTCATGTCACCTTCGGTTATATACACATAGCGATTTTTACAGATTGTCTCAGAGCAGCTTCACAGAGATAACACTAAAAGTTAAAGAGGCGGTTCAGGATTTTGGACATCGAGGCTCATTTCCAAGTTAGCCTGTGTCATGATTTTTCTAAAAAGTAAACCTAAGCTGCTTCAGTCCAGTAAGTGTTCATCTTGACTTGAAATATTACTCAAGTTATTCTTGCGTTTACCTTTTATAAATCAGGTCAGATGTGACACAGACTCGTGAAGTTTGAGCTGAAGGAGGAAAGACTTTTACTGGATAATAAAGAGTAAACTCTCGATCAGAGACAGAAGGACTGAGGAGATCGTGCGTGACAGATTTATCAGATCATCTTGATCATTTAAAGGCCTGAGACAGCACTTTTATATGGTTAAACACGATTTTATAACGGTTTGAGACATTAATAAAATCATACAGCGTCTCAGAGATCATCATACACTGTAAAAGATTTTCAAGATTTGTTCTTGTTTTTTCAACATTTTTTCTTTTGTCAAATCAACTTAAATAATTTATTTAGTTGAGATAACTTGTTATTTTGAGTTTCTGATGATTAAATTAATCTTCTTCGTTGTATTAACAGTTCAATCAACTTAAAATTAAGGCAACCAGGTTACTTACCTTTTTAAGTTAAACTAACAATATTTATTTACAGTGTATATGCACTTTAAACACAGAGAGAAAAAGTCCTTTGAAACAGTTCTGAGAAATATTTAATTTTGAGTATTTTTGGCTAATATATATAAATTAATGTCATTATATTTCTATTTATAAGTAACTATTTCAGGCCATTTTCAATAGATTTCCTCCACTTTATAATAAAGTTTAGTTAGCAATGTAAAGAGTGAACGTTCTAATTGCAAAACATCCTTCAATGATGTGGGGTCAGAACAATGCAACAATGAAGACATGTTTCCTGGAGGATGCACTCTCTCTTATCTGCTCTCCTGATGGATGACGTTTCTTAAGCCTCCGAAAGTAACGACACGATCTCATCCCACATGAACGTCACTCTGAAGGAATCCAGCGGGGATCTTTCACCTCATTAATCATCTCTGGAGTTTCTCTCGCTAACGTCTAATATTAAACAGCACTTGTGGATCATTAAGCAGAATCCATGACGCCATGTCCAACTCAGTATCTTAGTAATCTTTCAACAGTAAAAGAACCGTTCAACCGGGTCACTATATTCAGTGAAATACAAACTAAGAAGAGATTTGAATAAAATACTGTTAAATGTTTTTGAAAACGAACAAGCGGTCTTAAAATTCATGTATAATTTTAGATCTTTTTATGTAACATCTTGAATGTTATTTGCATTATTTTGGTGTCAAGATTTTCTTATTCAGGATCTAAACAATGCTGGGTTGTTTTAACCCAAATTTGGGTCAAATATGGACAAATCCATATGAAAATGTAATTAAAAATGTAATTAAAAGTTGCAGTTGACATTTATAACCCAACATTTGGGTTTGTCCATATTTGACCCAAATTTGGGTTAAAACAACCCAGTATTGTTTAGTGTATACAGTCTCACTGTGAATTTAAGTTAAAATATTGCGACTGTATTTCCCAAGTAAAGTTCTGGTTTAGAAGTTGTGAAGAAGTCAACGAAAAGACTTTTTACTGGCATAATCTGATTAACTCAAAAAGCAACAAAAAGGAGCCGAATCATCCGTTCATGATGAACAGCAGTTTCAGAGCATCTCATTTCAAGCTAAAATGAGGATCTGAACTGACTCGTGATGCGTCACGATGAGTGTTTCGAGCTCACAGCGACAGGTTCATCATCTCTGAGTCAGATGTGGTTTGATACGGACACTCGGCTCAGAGAAACCTGGAGATAAGAGGAACCACATGTACAGTGTGTACCTGTTGCATTCATCTGTCAGCTATTAGCGCCCTCTATTGGTGCACAAACCGACCTACAGCACTTGTGTGTGTTTGGTTGTAAAGCAAGCAAATAATATAAATGAGCACTCTATCTGACTCTATACTCTAGTGTAGATCTTAATGATACATGTGTCTGACCAGATATATCAGGATCAGTTTACTAACTAACACTGAAGGGTGAAATAAAGGGCTTTCTCCTCATTTATGTATGCATGTATGTGTGCATTTGTGTGCATGTACATGTATGTAAGTGTGTATGTATGCATGTATGTGTGTATATTAGAGCCAGGCCGATATTATCGGCCGATATTAGGCATTTTCTAAAATATCGGTATCGGCAGTTATAATGGCCGATAAATGAATATTTCAAAAATAAAATAAAAACGGACGAATCACGCTTCAACCTTGTCGTGAGTGTTGTCAAAAAGTGCAGGTAAAGGGATAAGCAAGCTGACATAATTATAAGGTAGCTTATAACTATAAGGCAACGTAGGGACTAATTATTATTTAATTTATTTAATTTAGAACTTTAAAATATTTTGATGTTCCTCTGTTCTGTTGTGATAATAGAACCAAGTTTCTTTTTTAAATGCATTATCATATTATTTTAGTTAAAACTCATAAATAACTACAAATAACTAATGTTAGGGAAATCTGTTCATATTTTGTTGCACGTTTCTGAAATAATAATAATAATATCGGCCGATATATCGCAATATCGGATTTTAAAACCAACAAATATTTGTATCGGTATCGGCCTTCATAATCATTTATCGGTCTGGCTCTAGTGTATATATATATATATTTATGATATATCTAGTGATATCTATATATCTAGTGTATATATATATATATATATATATATATATATATATTATACATGTACAATATTATTTATATCATTATATATTTTATGCATGACACGTCTATAATAACAGACCAACACGTGCAGGTATACTCACAAGGACACTCATAAACACACGTGCAAACACAGGCATCAGCCGTCAATTATTAAACAAACATGATACTGTTCAGAGAGAGAGAGAGAGAGAGAGAGAGAGACTGCTACTTCAAACATCTCACCTGAACATCCACAAACTCTCGCTGGATATTTCCCACAGGATTATTCTGCCTCTCGATGAGCTCTGACCGTCGCTGATGGACACAGGTAAACTCATTACACTTTATTATACACACTGTCAGGATATTCACTCATGGAAACGTCTGCTCACCGTCAGAACACTGCAAGGTTGGAGAGCGCGTAAATCTGTTTATAAAACACACACGGACTCAACGGAAAACAAGAGTTTTGATAAGAGATCAAGAGATCATTTTAATGAAACAAAAATATTAAAGAAAACTTAAAGGTAAAACTTTAGTTGATGCATTAGTTAACAATAACAATGAGCACGATATCATTACAGCCTTTATAAACCTTCATTAATTAATGTTGGATTATAAAAAATACAGTTGTTCATTGTTAATGTCAGCTCACAGTGCATTAACTGATTAACTAGCCGAGAAGAATGAGACTTGACCAGCTCAATGAAAGCGTTCTTCTCTTGAGGAACAGAACCGGGTCGCCGGCGCATCTCACCTGAACTCACTTTTGCATTTCTGAGGGTTTGAAGGGGCTTGTGTATCAGCTCTGAATAATTGATGCGCTGTTTTGAGGTAAAGGTTTCTCCATCAGACCGGCGTTTCAAGTAACTCTCAGGTGGAAGATTACAGGTCGTGTGTGTCGTACCTGAGCTAAAAGACGAGAACAGCTAGATTTGTGTATTCTCTAGTCTAGAGAAAACTGCCTATGCTCAAACTTTCAACGAGTCGTTGGGTCGTTGAAAGTTTGGGGTCTGTAATTGTTTTTAGCCTACTTTTATTCATCAATGATGCATTAAATTGATCAAATGTTACAATAAAAGGCATTTCTAATGTTACAAAAATGTCATTTTAAATAAATGCCGTCGAAAAGAAATTAAGGTTTTTGATGAAAACATTCCAGGATTTTCTCCATATAATGGACTTCAATGGGAACCAAACGGTTCAAGGTCCAAAAGACACTTTCAGTGCAGCTTCAAAGGGCTTTAACGATTTCAGACAATGAATAAGGGTCTTATCTAGCGAAACGATCGCTCATTTAAAAAAAAGTTTAAGTTTTATAAGCACAAATGCTCATTTTGATCAACGAGTTGGAATAGGAGTCACGAACGCGCATAACAGAACAAGGCGAGCATTTGAGCTTATAAAACTTAAACTTCGTTGTTGTTTTTTTAAATGAGCGCTCGTTTCGCTAGATAAGACCCTTATTCATCATCTGGTGTCGTTTAAAGCCCTTTGAACAGTTTGCAGTTTGCACTGAAAGTGTCTTTTGGACCTTGAACCGTTTGGACCCCATTGAAGTCCATTATATGGAGAAAAATCCTGGAATGTTTTCATCAAAAACCTTCATTTCTTTTCGACTGAAGAAAGAAAGACGTGGACATCTTGGATGACATGGGGGTGAGTAAATTATCAGCAAAAGTTTTTTTAAAAAGCGAGCTACTCCTTTAATAAAAATAATAATAATAATAAATGGGGGGGGGTATACTTTACAATAAGGTCTCGTTTGTTAACAGCAGATAACATGAATTAATGTGCAATATTTTTAAGCATTTATTAATCTTTTTTAACATTAGTTAGTAAAATTCTTACTGGTTTTTTCATGGTAACTGTTAACAAATATAACTCTGAATTTTAAAAATGTATGAGTTAATCTTCAAAATTACCATTTACTAAGATGAATCCAATGCATAAGTATCGTGCATTGTTAGTGCATGTTAACAATTGAAATTGTCCCCGAAATATTTTTCATCATTAGGATCATGTGACACTGAAGACTGGAGTAATGATGTTGAAAACTCAGCTTTGATCACAGGAATACATTTCATTTTACTATATATTCACATAGAAAAGAGTTATATTTCACAGTTTTACTGTATTTTTTATCAAATAAATGCAGCCTTGATGAGCAGAAGAGAACGTACTGACCCCAAACTTTTGAACATCGATGTAATATAAAGTAAATCTGAAAATAACATCACATTTACCCTCCTTCCTTCATCAGCCACTCCTCCGAACTTCCCCGATGATCCGCGACAGCTTCATCAAAGGCCTCCTGGGCTCCAGGAAACTCCACGAGAGCCCGCGATCCTTCCCAGCATTCCTGCATACGACTCCATCAGCATCCTCACCGCCGGCCCAACAAACGACACGGACAGCATCCAGACGGGACACCCGGTGACGGACGGAGACAGCATCCAAACGGGACACCCCGCGTACGACACCGACAGCAACCAAACGGCCCATCTGGCGTACGAGACGGACAGCAACCGGACCCTGAACCCAGCGTTCGACACGGACAGCACACACACACTCCACCCCGTGTACACACTGGACAGGGGGACCATGGAGGGAGTCCCGGGGCCTCCTAGAGGAGACGGTCCAACCAGCAGCATCCCGCTGACCCCGCCTCCATACACCCCGCCGGATCCGAAAACAGCCTACCTCGTGTTCCCCTCGCAGATGAGTCATTACCCCAACCAGCCCGTCATCACATGTCAACCGGGAGCCAATCCACCGGCTTTCTACCAGCCCCCCTTCCTCCCGCCCGCCACATACCCGTCCTACACTATAGTAAGATCACGCTTTATCTCCAAACTCCAGGGATGCACTGTTATGAACATTTTGGTTGATACTGATAACCGATAATTCTTTACAACCGTTATATTGTCCGATAAACCTTAATCCAAACGTTTATATCATTTTTGAGAGCCTGATTACAAAAACAAAGTCTCACCATTAAAAACCATGTCCCAAACACACAATTATGTGTTTTTATTAGTGCTGTCAAACGATTAAAATATTGAATCATGATTAATCGCATTAATGTCATAATTAACTCAAGATTAATCAAATTAATGTCATAGTTAACTTGCGATTATTCGCACTAATGTCATAGTTAACTCGTGATTAATCGCATTAATGTCATAGTTAACTCAAGATTAATCAAATTAATGTCATAGTTAACTTGCGATTATTCGCCCTAATGTCATAGTTAACTCATGATTAATCGGATTAATGTCATAGTTAACTTGCGATTATTCGCCCTAATGTCATAGTTAACTCGTGATTAATCGGATTAATGTCATAGTTAACTCACGATTAATTGCATTAATGTCTTAGTTAACCCGTGATTAATCGCATTAATGTCATAGTTAACTCGTGATTAATCGGATTAATGTCATAGTTAACTCACGATTAATTGCATTAATGTCTTAGTTAACCCGTGATTAATCGCATTAATGTCATAGTTAACTCGTGATTAATCGCATTAATGTCATAGTTAACTCACGATTAATCGCATTAATGTCTTAGTTAACCCGTGATTAATCGCATTAATGTCATAGTTAACTCAAGATTAATCAAATTAATGTCATAGTTAACTCGCGATTAATCGCATTAATGTCATTGTTTACTCGTGCTTAATCGCATTGATTTCATAGTTAACTCACGATTAATCGCATTAATGTCATAGTTAACTTGCGATTAATCGCATTAATGTCATAGTTAACTCACGATTAATCGCATTAATGTCATAGTTTACTCATGCTTAATCGCATTAATGTCATAGTTAACTCAAGATTAATCAAATTAATGTCATAGTTAACTCGCGATTAATCGCATTAATGTCATTGTTTACTCGTGCTTAATCGCATTGATTTTATAGTTAACTCACGATTAATTGCATTAATGTCATAGTTAACTCACGATTAATCGCATTAATGTCATAGTTAACTCGCGATTAATCGCATTATCTCAGTTAACTCGCGATTAATCGCATTAATGTCATAGTTTACTCGTGCTTAATCGCATTGATTTCATAGTTAACTCACGATTAATTGCATTAATGTCATAGTTAACTCGCGATTAATCGCATTAATGTCATAGTTAACTCGTGATTAATCAAATTAATGTCATAGTTAACTTGCGATTATTCGCACTAATGTCATAGTTAACTCGTGATTAATCGGATTAATGTCATAGTTAACTCACGATTAATTGCATTAATGTCATAGTTAACTCAAGATTAATCAAATTAATGTCATAGTTAACTTGCGATTATTCGCACTAATGTCATAGTTAACCCGTGATTAATAGCATTAATGCCATAGTTAGCTTGTGATTAATCGCATTAATGTCATAGTTAACTCAAGATTAATCAAATTAATGTCATAGTTAACTTGCGATTATTCGCACTAATGTCATAGTTTACTCGTGCTTAATCGCATTGATTTCATAGTTAACTCACGATTAATTGCATTAATGTCATAGTTAACTCGCGATTAATAGCATTAATGCCATAGTTAGCTTGTGATTAATTGCATTAATGTCTTAGTTAACTCGCGATTAATCGCATTAATGTCATAGTTAACTCATGATTAATCGCATTAATGTCATAGTTAACTCGCGATTAATCGCACATTTTTATCTATTCTAAATGTCTCTGATTTATTTTTTTCCCATTATTTTCTCTCATTTTAATGCTCTTATCAACAAAAGTGGATCGGCTTGCTTTGTGCAAATGTTTTTTATTGAAAACAACATTAGCATATACGGTGTTCAATTTCACACTAACATTCTCACTTGGAGCAAATAATCTCTCACACAATGAAAGGGTGACGAGGTCCTAATATTTACGAGGGGGCGGAGCATCAACCAAACGGCTAATGATTAGGTCAGGAGCCTCAGGTCTAGTGATTGCTTATTCTCGTTCTCCGTGTGGATGTGTTTCAGTACATGAACGGGCCGGCGCTGGGAGAGGAGCAGACACCCGTACCCAAAGATTACCTGGTGGAGTCTCTGCTGGTGACCATCTTCTGCTGCATCATGAGCGGCCTCGTCGCGGTCATGTACTCGTATGAGGTCCGCACCTGAAACACAATGCATGATGAGTACAAACACAAACACAAACCCTATTCATTCATCATGACCTCTGACCTCTCTGCAGACGCGTGCCGCGCTGACCAGGGGTGATATCCGCGAAGCTGAGAAAACGTCCCAGAAGGCTCGTCTGCTCGTCATGTTCAGTTTGATGTTCGGCATATTTGTTTTTGTGGGCTGGATTATTTATGTGGTGATCGTTCTCTGTGCATAGAAACTTCTGACAGATTAAACATGCATTACATAATCTACCGTTCAAAAGTTTGGAGTCGGTAAGAATTGGTTTAGTTTTTGAAAGACCAGGGCTGTGTTTATTTGATCAAAAATACAGTATAAACTGTGAAATATTATTACAATTCAAAATAAGTGTTTTCTATGTGGATATATGTTAAAATGTATTTTATTCCTGTAATTTTCAGCATCATTACTCCAGTCTTCAGTGTCACATGATCCTTCAGAAATCACTCTAATATGAGGATCTGCTGCTCAAGAAACATTTATGATTATTATTATCAGTGTTGCTTCATATTTAGTTTTTCAGGATTCAAAACAACAGTATTTATTTGAAATTGAACATTTTGTAACATTAATGTTTGATGCGTTCTTGCTTGATAAAAGTGTTCATTTATTTTAAAGTATCCCAAGCTTTTGAACGTGTCACTTCTCATTCTATACTATTATTCTTAAATGTGGAAAATAGTAATAATCAAATCATTAAAACGCTGAAATAACATAACAGCGTCCGAATGTTCGACTGTTTGAGTACAATATGCAGCAAATACAGAAAAGTGAAAGTGATTCTCGTATTAACAGCACAAAATGTCCCGTTTTGTGAGATTTAACACTGAAGTCCTTCATTGTAAACAGATTTAACCTTGACTTAATTTTATCAAAGTGTATTATACTGTAGCATTTCAAGTTTCAGAAGCAAATCATTGATAGAGCTCGTATTTACATTCAAAGGGAACATTCAACTCTGATTATGTCATTTCTTCCTAGAATCGGAAATGGTAATAAACCTTGTGCCTTTGTTGACTATTACATAATTGCAAACAAACAGAATTGTGTACAATCTAAACATCTGTAATACGCAATATTGTGTGACATTTATGTAGCCAACACCATGCAGCACTCAATTAAAAAAAGCTGTATATGCGTTTAACCCTCTGGTTATCTTTATTTGTGTATCCATTAGTTATCTTTGGGGTATCCAGGGACCCCAGAACAATAACATTGCATTATGTAACGGATTAATAGTTTGTTTTCTTTTTTACAAATGTATTTTACTTTGTTTATTAATGTTTTTACTCAGCATTTGTGCAGTTTTTGGAGGATTTATGATATTTTTTAAATTTCTATAAATAAATAAATATTTATTTAAATATGCTTTTTTTTGCTAACAAAAAAACAGCATTTTATGTAAAATACACTTTGTAAAAGACCCAGAATTCTAACCTTCGTTCATGGGGATAACATGGATAATTTTACATCGTTTAATGTAAGATTTTTGCCCATATTTTGAAAAATGCAGTTTTAAAATAAAGATAAAAATCACTTTAACCACTAAAAATTTTAACCATTAACACTTTAACCATTAATTTCTTTTTTTTTTTCTTCTTTTTTTGTAGATCTAGAAAGTGCTGAGAACTGTAGAAAGTTTCATACCAATTGGACTAAGAGAACATTTATTTAAAATTCATTTGCGGGTTAAAAAGACCCCGAAGATAACCAGAGGATTAAATTATCAGTGAGGAACTCGAAAAAGATATATATATATATCAATAAAATGACTTTTATTACATTATTAAGCCTGATTCTCTCCGCATGGTTTGGAGAGCCCGTATTAATTACAATAAAGAGCAAAGGAGAGCTGGAAAAACAATAAAGTGACCAACAGAGGGCGTCACTGCAGCACTAAAATGAAAAACTTGAGTTACATGGGTTCATGAATTTATGAATTCAGTTTGGGCCATTATACATAAACCGCAGTGATTTGCAATAACAATAAATCAGAAATCGAATCATTCAATAAATACCACAATATCTAAATAACGTCACAATATCTAAAATGTTTAGCTGCACTTTGGCACTAAAAATATAAATAAATAAATAATAAATAAACAGGAAGTAAGCTTTGAAACCAAACTCTAAATACAGAAAGCTCTGCAATTAATTTAAAATAAATACATCGATAGGCATCATATAAAGCTGGTTTTGCAGTGCCGTGGGTTCATGACGGCATAAATCAATCAAGTATGGTTTGAATCAACAGAGCAACCTTGGGTTTCTGAAACTATATAAATAAACAAAATGATCATTAATATAATTAAATCAGTCAGAATAGTTTGAAAAGTGATAAAGAACAAAGGAATGTGGCAACAGCACTTTACAAAACAATAATAGATACAATTCAATTAACACACATCTGTAAATCATGTCAAATCGGGCCTTTAAATTGAGATGCTTAATTTGTTTACACTTTGCCTAATTAAAAGAGATTAAGAAATCGTTAAGTGGCACATTTTCTGAGCGGCTATTAGTGCACTGTCAGCTTCATCATGCATGAAAAACAAGAATATAAGGCTGATCAACATTCAATTTCTGGACACTGCATGGATTAATTATGGATGTTGTTTGCAGTGACGAACGCTGAGCTCGTTACATGACGAGACGCAGTTAAGGCTGTGTTTCATTTAGGCTTTACGAAACTCAGTGCAAACATGTTAGTGCTTACATGGTGTAGATAAACATTTCATTTTGAGATTAGATCATTGGTCAGCTTAAAGGAGTAGTTCACTTTAAAAAAAAAAACTTTTGCTGATAATTTACTCACCCCCATGTCATCCAAGATGTCCATGTCTTTCTTTCTTCAGTCGAAAAGAAATTAAGGTTTTTGATGAAAACAGGATTTTCTCCATATAATGGATTTCAATGGGGACCAAACAGTTCAAGGTCGAAAAGACAGTTTCAATGCAACTCATAGACAGTAAGTGGACAGAGTGATCTCATTGGAACTCAATTGAGACAAGTGAAGCACATTTTTAGCAATTTTTTAGGACTTTCGCTCCTGACGAGGTTCAAGATCAAAAAGAGAGTTTCTGTGCAGCTTCAAAGGGCTTTAAACGACACCAGACGATGAATAAGGGTCTTATCAAGCGAAACGAACGGTGATTTCATTTGGTGATTTCATCATAGCGAGTCATTTGGTTGATTCAACGAATAAAATGAACGAGTTGACTCTGGAAAAGATTTGTTCATTTTGATGAACGAGTTCAAACGGGAGAGTCACAGAACAGAGCAAGGCGAGCATTTGAGCTTATAAAGCTTAATCTTTTTTATTTATTTTTAAAATGGCCACTCGTTTCGCTTTTTTTTTTTTTTTTTTTTTTTTTTTTTTTTTTTTTTTTTTTTTTTTTTTTTCTAAAAAAAAAAAAAAAAACGAGCCACTCGTTTCGCTTGATAAAACGCTTATTCATCGTCTGGCGTCGTTTAAAGCCCTTTGAAGCTGCACTGAAACTCTCATTTGGACCTTGAACAGTTTGGTCCCCATTGAAGTCCATTATATGGAGAAAATCCTGGAATGTTTTCATCAAAAACCTTAATTTCTTTTCGACTGAAGAAAGAAAGACATGGACATCTTGGATGACATGGGGGTGAGTAAATTATCAGGAAAAGTTTTTTTAAAAGTGAACTACTCCTTTAAAGAGAACCTGAATAAAGATCATTAACTATAATAAAGGCAGAAAAGACATTCTGACTGACCACAGAACAGTTTCTAGTGCAGAAAACAGGCACATACATGCATGTGCTCGTCATGTTTCAGGCATTTGTGAATTGTTAGTTTTGTTTTGGTGAATATTTGTGTGTTAGTCTGAAATTTAAAAAAGAATTATAATGTTGTATGAATTATAATGCTGAGGTATTAACAAAATGTAATAATTCATGATTCATGTTTGATGTTCGGTATTAAAAAAGAAGGACGGATTATATTCTTACTGTGATGTATTAATTTCCACTCAATGTCTCAATATTCATGAGCTTCTCCAAAATCATGTAAAAACTTTCAGAGACATCATGAACATCTTAAATTTTAAAATCAAACAGAAATAAAGCCCCCTGACATGCATGTAAACATACAATCGTTTGGTTTTCCGTAAATAAACCCACGCATGGGTCGATCTCAGAAGCATCCATGATTCAGTCAAGCTGGAAACTGTGTGTCGGGACATGGAAGAGTGTGTGTTCGTTTCTCGCCTCTTTAGCTCAACAGCTCCAGATATGTGACAGGCACCTTCCCCTTTTGGTTTCCTCTCTCTCCGATCAGCCAATCAGGGTCCATTCCAGGCACTGTGTACACTGTGATGAGCTGATCGTCCAATCAGAGGATGGAGAAAATCATTTCATTAGTTTAAAGTCTAAATGCCTCAGAATTATTGTGAATACAGTTGAAACTGGAAAAATCCGAATATGGTTATAATCTTATTATATAGACTATTTCAAGCCTTTATTTGTTATAATTTTGATGACAATGGCTTAAAACCCCAAATTCAAAATTAGAATATTGTGAAAAGGTTTTCATATCTGTAAGCCATAATCATCAAAATTATTACAAATAAAGGCTTGAAGTATCTCACTTTGCATGTAATGAGTCTATATAATACATTAGTTTCTCCTTTTAGGTTGAATTACGGAAATAAATGAACTTTTGCACCATATTCTAATTTTTCCAGTTTCACCTGTACATTAGGGATGCATCAATATGAAGATTTTGCCTGATACCAATAATTCTTTATATTTAAAAGGCGATAACCAATATATTGGCTGATAAATCTAAATCAAATTTTTATATAATTTTTAAGATCCTTATAAAAACAAAAGTCTCGTCATTAAAATCCATGTCGCTAAAATAAACTTACAATGTTCTCATTATAATTTTATGTAGCTTATATGACAGACTTATGCTGTATTTTTCCGTTTTGAAGTGACTCCAATCATATTTCAAGCAATTCAAAACCATCATGTTGAAGGGTCTTTATTTATACATTATTTATGCTTAAATATATCAGCCAGATATCGGACCAATGACATCATTGAACATTGTTGGTCAATACCAATTTGGTGGCCGATATATCGTGTATCCATAGAATATTTTTGAATATTTAATAACACCAACTGTAAAATATATATTATCACGGAGCAGTAATATTTAAAAATGTATATATTATTTAGATATTTAGCAATATACAGTATATAGCACATCTCAGATGTGTGATTGTTTATATCATCAAAAAATGTAAACTGTACTAATTGCACAGCTCTAAATATAAAGTTTGATTTATGATATATCCAGGTTTATCTGCATCCTTACAGTACATAA